AAAATATCGGACCCATTGCCATCTCTAGCCTTTTCAAAGTAATAATCTTCATGTTCTGTGTTTTCTCGAATCCTCTATATTCCACTTGCAACTTTTCCCATATTTCCTTGGCGGTAGTGCAGGCCACAATCTTTGTAAAGATTGAATCTGAAATGGCAGAATCAAGTAAGATAGGGCCATTAATCTTTTCCTGCTTTCTACTTTATACAATTGTAATTGCGCAACTGTTGGATCCTCTAGCTCTTTGGGGAAATCTACTCCTGTCTCAGTGACATTTCACAAATCTGCAGCTTGTAAAAAACCTTTCATTTTCACTACCCAAATATGGTAGTGAATTCCTGTATAAAAAAAGGGAAGTGGTGGCAATGAAGAACTTGACAAAGCTACTACACAATTCAAGCTTTCTTCTACCCTTTCTTTCTCTCTAGTGTATCCTCACAAATCTAAAAAACAAACACTTCCACAGATCCCTTAAGTAAACTTTGCTCTGATATCAATTGTTGGAAATCGGAAGAGTGAAAAATAAAATCTAGACTTGAAAAAAATGAACGCTTGTGAACTGAAGAAATAAAACTTTTATTTCAATATAAAATTCATATAATCTCCACATTACATACAATGTTAATTCCCTTATCTATAAGCGAACAAAAGGAGTAAATTACATAACCATCTTAACTGTTCTCAGACATTAGTTAAGACAAGTTTAAATATAACTTAACAATAACCGAAAATTGATAGCGAATTTGATTAGAACTAAAAAACTAAAGATCACACAATGCATGCTGCAGCGAACTTTTCTATTGTCGCGGCGATGGGTTCCCTGATCTGAATTCAGAGAACTTCTTCGCGCTCGCCGCGGCATTCTTTTCTAACGCTGCGGCAAGCATTCATTCTACCAAAATGTTTTCATCTTTTTAACAATATAAAGCAGAAAGGCCAATGAGGATAAAGGAAAAATGAAAAAGTACGATGTGTGGCAGATACCCAACTTTGACCCTATATTATGATTGGCAATTATTCCTATTAAATTGCGGTTTAATATTAGTATAAGGTAGGGATTTTGATCCAAATTTTGGCTGTGGTTGAGGAGACATTAGCTTTCAAAGATCAAGGCTGAAGGTGAAGGGGTTGGCATTGTGATCAAACATGCTGCCTTCCAAGAAAACAATAACATGTTTCTACTGGACATAGATTTCTTCTTATCATTTCTGTTTTAGATTTTATTCTAATTAAGTTTTGTCATTAAACAGATACCATACACTTGCTGAAACTGTAATGAATTTCAACAGGGAATCTTGTGTAGTTTTCAACACAGGAAAAGATTAATATTACATTTTCTTAATTACTACTATTGTCTTATACTTGCAATGATAAATTTAAAATCAGGTAGAGCCAAACCAAATACATAATAATTCTAAAAAAAAAATACCCGACTACTTTTGACCTTGGCCTTTACCATTTATACATATCACTCTTCCAGACCAAACTCAATATAATGACTGGTAAGAATTAGGTAAAACCCTGCCTAATCCCAGCCTTAACTACCCAATAATCTATGCACTGAAAATCCTTAATAGTCAATCATCCCTTTTGAGTGGCTTAAACCAACAAAATCCTTTTGAATTCCATATATTTGAAAGGCGCTGTGGAATTTTGTTTATACAGCCGTTTAATTTATCATAATATGTGTCACCTGTATTGGACAACCACTCTTTAATCTTGAAAAAAGTGTAAATACGTGTTTTCTCACACAATTTTCTTCTAGCGAGCATCATATTAATGTAAAATGGTGCATACATATAGTCTGACATTAAGTGTGTTTAAGACCACCTGGTTTTCACCCAGGCACTTGACCATCCATGTGATTGCACTTGCTGTCGTATCTTCACCTGCCAATTATATTTACCAAGAATAGTTAACAGGAATTTAGTTATTTTACACTACACTAAGGCAACAACATTATTCCTATAAATCTTTGACATAAGCTGACGTGCAATTATCATGGTCAAAATGTTTTCTGTATATCTGCATCTGTTAGTCTCAGGGTTTCATCAACCTCTGTGAAAAGGTACTGTAGAAAATCTTCACGATTGGCTTCTAAGCCTCTTCTCCTTAGAGTAATCATTTTCTCCAATGTCCCCATGACTCTTTTTCACGCTTGAATCTCTATTTTTAAAACCGGAACGGACCAGCTGGTCAGATCGAGACCCAATAGCTTCTTCAGTCCGGTTCAAGTCTTAGGGAAGTTTTTTTGTAATATTTCAAAATTATAAGGGTTAATTTGTAATTTTATAAGGGTGTTTTGGATATATATCAAAAATTTAGGGATGAATTGGTAATTGTTTGGGGTATTTTTGAAATAAATAAAAATTGTAGGGACTAGTTATCTTTTTTAGAGGAATTTTTGTAATATTTTAAAATTTAAAGGATTAATATGTAATTTTTAAAAAATAAAATTGATCGGTCCGACTAGTTGGACTGGTTGACCTGTGACTCGGGCAACAAACGGGTTGCCTTCCTATCCGAGTTTTAAAACAATGGCCCGAAAAATCATTTAAAGTTTAAACCCCTATGACCAGCCCAATTATGATTGGGGTACAGCTTATGTGTAAGCAGTGGGTTTAGTAAATACCTTAAGGCCTTTGTAGAAACTGGTCCAGGGTAACTTAAGAGGGAATGCTAGCATCACTTCATAAACGTATGCTACATCCTTCTCCAGCGTCTCTAGTTCTTCTCCACTCCCTATATTCGTCAACATTTTGCACATTGCTCTAAGAGGGCATTTGATAGGGGATAATATAGGATTATTGGGGTTATATCATCTTATATTACTTAATTATCACGTTTGGTTGTCAAGTAATATAAGATTCCAGTAATCTTCAATACCAATAATAGATATTGTTGGTAATATTTGAGGTAATTTGATTTCCTCCATTTTCTGAGGTATTGTAAGATTAATAGGGTAATCTTTTTTTTTGTTACAATTATATCCCTTATTAATAAAATTTTAAGACAATAATGCCCTTATTTTTAAATTTATTTACATAAATGTTGCTTTTACTATTTCACCCCAATTAATTAACTTTTTAGACAAAATTACCCTTGAATTCAAAACAAATTGCAGCCCACCCAAGCTACCTCCCCACCACCCTGCTGCCGCCGGAAGGCATACGACAGGCCGGAAATGGTCGTCGTGCATCGATATGGCAAGTCCGGCCAGAGATTTGGCCATCAACGGCCATATCGATGGCCATTAACGACCACTTCGACGGCCAAATCTGACCGTCAACTGCCAAATCAATTATCGTTAACGACCACATTGACAGCCAGATCTGTCACAATCTAGTCATTTCTGGCAAGATCTCTGGCCTGAAATGGCCATACGATGCACGAAGGCCATTTCCTGCCTTCTGTCTATCGTTAGGTTGCTAGCGGTGGTTGCCGGGGGTGGCTGGGTTGGTGGAGGTGCTTTGTTGATTTTCTAAATTTTTATTTTGGGATTGTTTTTGCTATGTTTTTAAATGCAAGGGGTAATAATAATCCAAATAATAATCAATATTAAAAAATAATATTTAATTAGAGGACAATTCATTAATTTAAATAACATACCAACCAATTTATTCCTCCCAACTAAACATATTAATAAAACATACCCACTAATTTATTCCAACTAACCAAATACATTTTCTTAAAGATTCCCAATAATCTTAAGGTAATCTAACTTTCCAGTAATCTAATATTTCCTGAATCAAATGTACCCTAAAAGTTATCTGCATTAATTTTAATACAAAAATCAATAAACGCAAACTTTGATCTGGTTTACCAAATAGTATTAGACCTAAAGGGGCCTAGGCCTCGACATGGGCCGGGGGCCTTAGCCAGTCGGCCTAAATAGTCTTTAATTTATGTTTAGTTAAACAGGCCTTTGGAGCTTCATTCAGAACCACCACTATGCCTCTATGTTCCCAAGCTTGAAGAGTTCCCATGATCGGTTCATCAAACTGTTTGATAAACAAAGATATAGAACTTGACGAGAACAAGTTAGTCAAACGACTAAGAATCAATTTATGTTGTTGGGGAGAAGCACATAGCAGGCTTTGAATTTTGATCCCCCACAAGTTCAGCAATTGACCTTATGTATCCCTTCGTGAATTTCCCCAGATCATTGTTTAGGATCACCTTTGCTGACTCAGTGCTTGAAACAATACATTAGTCTTCCCAAATATGTTCGTCTTAAAACAATTCCCATACCTGTCCAATTAGATTCAAGCAGCTCAATTATGTTAAGTGCATTACTTTATAATCATTTTACATTTAATACGAAAGATTCTTTTACTTAATACGACGAACTCGAACAAAGTCATAGAAGCCTTTGCCACTATTAATAGCTGCCATGAACTGCATGGTCTCTCCGATCAACGGTAATCCTTGACTGCCTGGGCCGGTAATTCTATATTACGGTAGCGCAGATTCAAGATTATCAAGCTTCCAACAAGAAGCACCAGGTAGAAACAGAGGCAAGGATATTCGTGAAGCGTAAGGAGATGCATTTTTGATTTACTGAACTAATTTGCGTAATTGAACTTAAAAACAGAGGCAACAAATGATTAAAGGAAAAGACACGTGTACGGTTTAGAAAACGATGCTGGTATTTTGGGCTACAGGGTCTCTTCATCATATGGAATTTGAAAGAATGTTTCCCACTTGCCTTTCCTCAGTGGGCATCAACGGTTAAACGACTCAACTCATTGGTTTCCCTGAATACGTCACTCGTTCTATTAGTGACTTCCAATTCCATTGGCTATCTTTCTTCTTCGAATTTTAAAATAGCTCCACACTCGTATGCAATCGTTTGAACTTTGAAATTAGGATTTCAATGGCAAGACTGTGAATATTAGAGAGAATATTTTAAGAAGTTAATAGACGTATGGTTGATATTATTGTGCATGGACAACATATTTAAGATTCACTAACAGAGACATTATTATTTAAATCCAGTATCAGTTATATATGCTTCCCATCTCTCTTTTATTTGTTTCAACCCTTTCTGATAATCGAGATGACTAAATTGATGTACTTGGTTTGAGTCTTCGACAAGTAATCGCCCACCATCTGAGCATACCTTCGAAATAACTCGTCCAGTATGTGATTTCCGAAGTGATGTGCCACCATTGATTCCACTACGGCTCTTATAGTCTTTGCTACTCGCTGACCTCTTGACAGTGCCCCCAATGTGTTATTTACGGCTTCATCAACACCTCCATCCCAATCAATTTCAAACGCTTCAAGGCGATCAATAATGAATGACCCTTCCTTTTCTACTTCCAATTTAAGTTCTTCGGGGCATGGAGCATAGTAAGGCGCGTTGAACGAATCAACTTTTTCCTCTTCAATTAGACCCTGCAAGCACAAATCAAATTGATCGAAAAAGCTAGTTCATATTGCATGCACATTATACTAAATCCTGATCATGATATTGATTACCTCTGAAACCATGCTCATTAGTGCATGTGCTAAGAGCTCCCAGTGGTAGCAACTCTCTTCTGTTGTGGGATCAGAAGTTCTCCTTCCCATGAACGACAAAACCATTCGGCCTCCAGAAAGTATTTCTTCTCCACGTGATTTAAGAAAAAGAGAAAAGTCATTTTGGTACTGCATCGAGTATGCATCCAACACGCTCTGTGGGCTGCTCTTAGATATATAGATCTTTCCTTTATTCAAAGCTGTGCTAGCACTGCTATTTAGAGCAGGTGGAACCTGTACATATTTGTCAATAATTAATCTAGAATCAACAAATTTTCAATTAATTAATTTTTATATATATACAGTATATATATACAAGTGGTTGAATACTATACAATTTACTGCTGATGGAACAATTATAACGTATCTCTTGGTGACATAATGGAGAGTAGTATCTCTCATGCGACACGTTGAGTTTTATGAAGTTGACATAATTTTCATGTTAGTTGTTGCTCTTACAGTCTTACTGTTAAATAATATTAATATCTTTTCTATGAATATCGCATTAATTAAATAATTAAAAAATTATATATTATGTTTTATCTATAAAAAATAAGAATTATTTTAAATAAATATTTACAATTGAAATTATGTAATTTTTGTAAGATAACATCTATTCTTTCAACAATCATTAAAGACCACCAGAAATTAATTAAATAAACTATATTAATATGGTTACTGGGTCACATACAGTACAACATGTTCACAAACATAAACATATTTGTGGTTACCATGGGACTAATTGCTAGATATGGTGTATACATCTCTTAGCCTTGACGGTTTGTTTACCTATAACGACTCATTCAGGGGTCTCACTCACCGGTGAACGAGTAGGGGTGAGGGGCCTGGTAAGCCCAATGTTTAATTGGATTTAGAATTAGTTTACTTAAATTTGGGCTTAGGTTGGGTTAGATTTGGGTAAGCCCAAATATGGTTAGATTTATATTATGTATTTTATGTAATAGTGAAAAAAGACCTAAGGTGAGAGAAGGGCAATACTACACTTACAATCAAATCTCATCAACTTTTTCTCACAACTCCGACGTGATAGCTCGCAATTGGTCAACTCGTAAATGGGTCATGCCTGCTCAATTACAAGCTGACTGATTGTGAGTTGCCACTTCGGAATTATGAGAGAAAGTTTGTAAGATTGGATTGTGAACCAATCTTTATTGAGTGAAAGAACAGAGAGAAAAGTGAGTTATCGATACTCTTCATCTTTGTATTCTTGTTTTTTGATACTCAATAAAAACCACTTATTTGAATGTTGAACGTAACTCCTTAAAAAAGGAATGAATTACAGTAAATCATTGTATTATGTAATTATTTTATGCTTTATTTGTAACGTGATTTTTAGTTTCAACATTAATGTGGTACAGTAATAGTAATAGAAGTTAAACTAGTTTATTTTGGTTCAAAACAATAATACAAATTAAAAAAATAGATGAACCTTTCACACGCACTTTAGATCTATTTAGAATGAGTAATGTTACACCCACGTGCTCTTCTCACAAACTTTCTCTTACAACCCTAAGATGATAACTTGTAATTGGTCAATCACAATTTATCAAGTAGGACCTAGATAGAACTCATTGTAAGTTAACTAATTACGAACTGTCTTATCAAGGTTGTGAAAGAAAGTTTGTGAGAAGAGTTTATAAGGTTAGCATTTTCCATTTAGAATACGTGGAGTTGGAAGCCCACTGCAGGTCTTATTCTCCACTAAAGGAGGTTTACTTTCTTTCAATTAACAACTTCCATTTTCAAAATAGAACTGTTTAAGGAATCAAACACTTAAGTATGAAAGAGACATGCTAACCTGGGAGAGCCAGTGGAGACTTGAAGAAGAGTGCACAAAGTGCAGACTCTTCCTAGGGAATACTCTACCATAAAACGAACCAGCCGCACCTGCTATAAAGCATGGCCCGAATCCGCTACCCTTCTCTTCTTTTAGCTTCTTGAAGAATGACGGTAATGACTCAAATATGGCATTGAAGTCATTGCAAGGAAGATCATTCAACATAACCCTGAACTCCGGTGAGAGACGGCCTAGATTCGAACATTTGGCATAGATGATGTTCATTATATCGGAGATAACTCGGAAGCTGTTGGGTCCCGATGAGCAACCCATATCTGCAATGCCAAAGCTCTCTGGAATATTGTCGTCTAAGATTCCCAGTACAGCTTCCTCGATTGCTGGTTTTGCTATTGATATAATCTTGTCCTATAAGTACACAAAATTTAAATATAAACTGTTATTTATTTAGGATTATTGATTAGGAAAAACCACAAGAATTATAATGAGTTGGCATGGAATGATGCGATATAAGCTTCTACAAAAGAAAAGATTGAAGTACTGAACGGTAGAAATAAATAAACTAACCTGGACGGAGCAATTTTTGGCATAACTAGTTTCACCATCTCCTCCATTCATGTGAAGAACTTGCATGACTTGCATCTCTGAGTATTTTCTTAACCGATAACCAATGAAGCGTTAAGAACGTCCCCACCCTATTTGTAGAACCAGGCATAGACGTAAGTAGTTATAACTTATAAGAAATGGTGTCCGTGGTTCTTAAGCCTTGGGTATTTAAGGAGAGAAGAAAAACATGTGAAGTATATAAGTATCTAACTGTATCCTAGGACTGTAAGATCAAAACGCGGAAATTCAACACCCAATTAATTACAAAATCACGCATAGACAACAAAACACTGATTTAACATATTTGGGGTTTTAAGAAAATCTGAGCCATAATGTATACGAGATTGCTAAATCTCAGACTGGTATTCCTATCTTGGTGCTCTCAATGACAGCTTTTAAATGGGTAAAACATACCTTAATTCGTTTCGGAGATAGACGCAGCCAATATATAATGTTTTACCGGTCCCTCCCCTTATAGGCCCTAGTAAACCCTAGATCACACACTTTGCTGTCAACCCAAATTAATTAATAATGAAGTGTATTGGGCTACAATTTATGATCACATTAAGTCCAGTAAAATTATGTCATAGAACTATGCATTTATTGGGTTTTATTAAAACAAAATATAATTAATGTTAACCAATAGAAACTTCTCCAGCAAGGACCACTTATTCCTCTGCGCAAGGAGGAAAAAATGGTATTTGGAAAATAAGAGCAAAAATTGGGAAAACCACATAAATAAAAAAATAAAAAAATTGAGTGAGGACTATTTATCCTTCATCCTATGTGCAGTACTGTGCCTGCTTTATTTACTTATATGATGTATTTTTCTGAATCACAAATTTCGTAACATTTATTATATATCATTAATGCTAGGGCTTCCACCCACAAACTAAAATGAAAGGCGGGCGTTTAATGAACTCGAAAATTTTCCTCTGTAAATATGTGATTCTTCTATAATATTCTCTATCTTTCAATCTCTTTGTTTTTAGGTACGTCGATTGTCTAGGCTACCAAACCTCAACTACAATAATGAAACATATGTATATAATTCACTGTCTGAGGGAAGACCTGGACGGCCGGGTTAAAAGTTTTCAAATCTTTGACGAAACGGAGTAGAAATTTTATGAAAGTTTCGTGACCATATCTACCTTGCCGACATAGATCAAATCGCATGCAGTGCCAGTACTAGTAGTATAACAAAGTAAGCAACTACTCGTTTGTTGTTTGGTGAATAATTAAGTGGGAATCGAACCACATCCACATGTTTATCTTGTAGCAATGCTGCAACATAGGCCACTTCTTCATCCGATGATATAATGTTTGTACGACGTTTTTATTCTACACGTGATATAAACGAACCGACCAATACTATCCCCACATGCCCTCACAATTAGTCAATNTACTTTTCTGAATCACAAATTTCGTAACATTTATTATATATCATTAATGCTAGGGCTTCCACCCACAAACTAAAATGAAAGGCGGGCGTTTAATGAACTCGAAAATTTTCCTCTGTAAATATGTGATTCTTCTGTAATATTCTCGATCTTTCAATCTCTTTGTTTTTAGGTACGTCGATTGTCTAGGCTACCAAACCTCAACTACAATAATGAAACATATGTATATAATTCACTGTCTGAGGGAAGACCTGCACGGCCGGGTTAAAAGTTTTCAAATCTTTGACGAAACGGAGTAGAAATTTTATGAAAGTTTCGTGACCATATCTACCTTGCCGACATAGATCAAATCGCATGCAGTGCCAGTACTAGCAGTATAACAAAGTAAGCAACTACTCGTTTGTTGTTTGGTGAATAATTAAGTGGGAATCGAACCACATCCACATGTTTATCTTGTAGCAATGCTGCAACATAGGCCACTTCTTCATCCGATGATATGATGTTTGTACGACGTTTTTATTCTACACGTGATATAAACGACCCGACCAATACTATCCCCACATGCCCTCACAATTAGTCAATGAATAATACTTTGCGTACTAACGGATTTTACAAACTAGTGTACTAACTTTTGTTAAAATTATACATAGTACCCGTACTATACATATAGTACCCGTACTTTACTTTAGTTAGTACACAGATTAGTACTCATCCGTTGGTACCTATAGCATCACTCTTAGTCAATTAGGCTTTGCCCGCTCTGGCTCGCAAAAGAAGAGAAACATGAACTAGAAACAATAAAAAGCATATATAATTCATCTTAAAGTTGACTTAGGGTTTCTTTTTATGATTCTGATTTCTTAAAGTTCAAATGCAAATGGGAGGGGAGTTGTCATCTATATACAGTATATATATATATTTCAAATAGAATAAAATCCATGCTAACTGTGCTATATTCCTTCTATTATTTTTACAGTAATATCGATGGATTGGGACTAAACTGATACTGGAATAATATTGAAGTTATAAAGAATACTGGAATACTTCAATACTGGAATAATATTGAAGTTATTCTTTAGGCTTAAAAGAATAAAAAGATAGTGAAAATATTTATCTATCATGTGAGAGTAACTGTAAATGATTCCGAAATACTCATTTATAGGTAGTCCAGTGATAAGGGCGAATCAAGAGAGTTGTACTTGGTTTTAAGTCTTTCATATACAGTTTCATATTTGATTCTCCGTTTGGCGCAAATGTTCTCCGTTTGATACAAATATAGTACATTTGTCTATGATTTATCTAGGAACAATGACAAAGAAAATTAGTCAAGACGCGCATAAATAAATTCGAACACCTCGGTTAAAAAAAAAAAAAAAAAAAAATCCAAAATCAAAATTAATTATGTTGCATTTGGACTAAAATTAACTGTAAAGGTAATTCGAAATGGTCAATAACACCCAAAGAAGATTGACAGTTGACGGAGGAATCCGACAAGATGTCTACCAATAGCATATACTGCGTTTAACACTATTGGCCATGTCATTATGCGATTATTAATTAGATATGTTATTCTTCTTTTCTTAAACTTAGAATTTAGATTTTGCTAGTTGGGGAATCAACATTGTTATGGTCTATGTGATATTTCCAAAGTATAAAATTAGGCATCAATTCTTAGTTGTCTAACTTACATTGAAGTTATATTTCGAATATCTTATCAACTACACCTTTTGCTCAAGGAGATTGTGGAAAAATCAAATGCAAATTTCCTTGATTGCTTTGAACCATCCGATATTGCGTAAGTCGTGAGAATGACAACTGACAGACATTTATTTTATAAGAAGCTATTGGAAAAAAAAATCACGTGAACCACATTTATTTTCTGCCCTCTTGAAATAATTGCCAGCGGTTGAACACAATTGCCAAATCACACAAAATATCGAAAAAGAAAAATAAAAAGATTCGTTTTTAATTCAAGCAATTACGTCCACGCTCAAAATAAAAAAGTTTTATTGAGTTTTAGAAATATGTAATAATACAATAATTGTGATGGTAGCTGACTCGTCCTCTTCTGTCTTTCAGTATTTTTTTTTTCTCTCATTAAGTTTTTTTACTATTACAATACACAAGATTAAACTTAATCATATTTATGTTATAATCTGTTAACCTCGTGTATAGTATGAACCATGTCCAAGATATCCAAATTAAACTACTTGAAAAAAACAGATTTTTATTCAAATTAGACTTGATTTCTTTTATATGTGTGACCGACCCTTATATCTCCAACCTTTCATTATTGATAAGGGTCACTTTCACTAATTTCTACTAGTCAACTTGGATTTAAATCTCTAACATAAGATGGGACGCTGTTTCACGTGGCTTTATCATGGACTATCAAATCCTTTTCCATTCTTTTCAAGGTGCAACAAGTGAAATTGGATTTAAAATATTCGGCTTAGGATTACAACGCAACCGACCACCCGACTTAGGACATCTCCACCCCACCCCCAAATGGCGTAAAAAACACCAAATTGGCGTGGGTTAAAACACCACACCATTTTGGCGTGGTGCTACAGTATTACGCTAAAATGGCGTAATACTGTAGCAAGAATAAAAAAAAATATATTTTTTTTAATTTTAATTTTTTTAATTTTGTTAAGTTAATTTGAGTATTAAATTTTACACTAAAAATCACACCAAATTTGAGTATTTGTATTTAATTTAATTTGATTATTATTTATAATAATAATATAATTTAAAAAATGATGAAAATTTAAAAATAAAACTTTATTCAATGCAAATATTAAACTACAATAACTCAAAATAAAAATTAATACTAATTTAAAAGCATAAAATTGAAAAAAAATACAACATAAACTCAAATAACAATTTAGTATTCCGGTAAATTAGTTCTGGATCCAATAAGATCATCAAAATATTGAAAAAAACTATAGTTATTTTGAGATCCTTGACCTTGTTGTTGAGCTCATTTTGAAAAAACTCACGTAGGCTTGGATCGGTTATAGAATTCAAATCCTTGAATAAAATTTTGTTATCTTCTCGATATTCTGCCAAAGCCAATTTTTTCATTTGGATTTCATAATTTTGTGCCCTAGCTGAGTTGCCCCGATTGAAAATAGCAGCGAGCTGTCGATTTTCTTCTTGAATAGTTTCAAAACTGTTTAAAACTTCTTTATCATTTTTCCTTTTAAATTTTGCTTTCTTCACCCCAATGGGTCGTTGAGCTGAACTTCCCCCAATATTTTCATCACTTATATTTAGAGAATTTGAGGATATATCACAAGACATCGATTGGGGAGTCTTTGAAGTGAGAGTCCCTGATTCTTGTGATTCAAACCTATCGGTTTGCCTTTGAAATACTTATGCGGCATTAACATTATCTGTAAATTTTTCAATATCCTTAAGTATAGGCCACGCATGATCAAATTTGAAACCTTTCTCGTAACTTTTATCTTATGCTAGTAACATTTTGGCTTGAATCATCTACAAAACAATATACATATAACGTTAAAATCAATTAAAAAAAAAAAAAAAAAAAAAAAAAAAAAAAGCTTGAATGAAATGTGACAAATACTCACAATATCTTGCTCAGAAGCACCACTTGGATTCATATTTTCAATTTTACGTACGCATCCCCTCAATTTGCCAATAGCTTTAAAGATCAGTCGCATTCGACATTGCAAAGATCTTTTGTTTCGAACGTGGGTGAAAAACACGGGTTTGGAACTATTGTAGTCAAGCTCAACTCGAGACCAAAATTGATCACTAGATTGGTTTACACCTAAAATCGAGTCTTGAGAAATATCAAGATAAATATGACATAGATGCATGTCTTCTTCATTTGTGTACGAAGAACTTCATTGTGTAGTCATTTTGTAACACGAATTAAGAAGATATATGCTTTTTTTTTTTCTAAGAGGAAGTAGAAGAGATGTGTTCAAAACTAATGTGTTGTATGCCCTTTTATAACATAAGCTTGAACGGACAACACATCTTTTTGAATAAGCCACAAATCTCAAAAGCTTGAATGGACAACATATCTTTTTTAATAAGCCACAAATCTCAAAAGCTTGAATGAACAACACATCTTTTTGAATAAGTCACAAATCTCAAAAGCTTGAATGGACAACACAAGCTTCTCAAATAGAAGCGCCAACTCCCGAAGTTGAAATTGTCGTAGATGAGAATGTCCGATTTCGAAATTTTCTTGCTCGATATAAACAAATTAAGGATACAGAGGCTCACCATGCTCTTCGAAATGTATTAATTGATATTTGTGGGAAGAACATACTAATTCGGAAAATTAAATTATTATCAATATGGAATTTTATCTTTATGTTGTTGTTGTTTTTTTTTTTTTTTGTTTTTTTTTTATCATTTTATATTAGATGTAATGTTTTTCTATATTAAATATAATGTTTATTTGATTAAATAAATGCTTAATTTTATTAAATTAGTATAATTTTCAAAATAATTATTATTTAATAAAAATATCATTCCCAATATTTAATTAATATATACAAAAATAATGAGTGAAATAGATTAATTGTTGATTATTACAATAAAAGAAAAAAAAGAATATTCTAAAGAATATTATAAGGAATATTTTTTTGGTGTAATATTTGGTGTTATGGGTTAGAGATGGAATAGTATTTTACACTAAAATTTGCACCAATTTGGTGGTGCAATGGGTTGGAGATGGTCATAAAGATTGTGTGATCGCTAGATATATTAGCTATTGGGTCAGAGAAATATATATATATATTTTGGACCAATTTGGTGGTACAATGGGTTGGAGAGGTCATAAAGATTGTATGATCACTAGATATATTAGATATTGGGTCAGAGAAATATATATATATATTTTGGACCAATTTGGTGGTGCAATGGGTTGGAGATGGTCATAAAGATTGTGTGATCGGTAGATATGTTAGATATTGGATCATATATATATATAGCGCCAATTAATTTTTCAAGATACTAAAATTATTTTTATTAGCAACCAACGAGAAACACTTGAATTTAAAAATTGTTAAGTAATAAAACACTTGAATTTAAAAATTGCTAAGTAATAAATCCAAGTATCTCTACTAAATCAAAAGACGATTCGAAAATAATTTTGAAGTCAGAGAAATATGATTAAGAATTTTGACATCTCCAAATATTTTACCAGCTAACTGTAATTGCACTTTTTATTTATCAAGGGAATATTATGAAATTTAAGCATACAGTTAACGAAAAAGAAGACTTGTTCCAAAAACATCAGTAAATTATCCCAAAAATTTTACTGGGATATAAAAGTATACAAGTTCGAAAATCAATTCTGTTTTTAATTTGAAGTTAATCAGTCAGATGAGGCTGAGCTGATAATGCCATGTGTCTTTCGCTTTTTTCAAAAGGTGGGAATTCAAGGAAACAGTGTGATTTGTGCTCTTTCAGTTTCAGCCGTTGGACTTGGAATCGGATGCTCCATTTTTGTCGCAAGCAGAGGAATTGAAACTCGTTGCTTCAAAGCAAAACAACTTTTCAATTTCACCATTTATTCCCCAGTTGCATCACTCGTTGTGCTTTAAGCTATCTCATCGGAGCTGTCTCTGTCCATTTCTAGATCAGGTAATCAAAGATGATTTCTCCAATTTCAACGGTTATTGTTTCTTTTTGCTTTGAAATTATTAATATGGTATAATGTACTCTGATGTCGAAATGAATCTCAGATATCACTATAATGGAGGTCATTTTTGACCAAAAGGACGCTGCCGATTGGGTTTATAGAGGAGAAGGAGCCGTAAATCTTGTTCTCGCTTACACCGGATCTTCTCCGGCTTTTGTACGTCGTCATACCATAAGTTTTTTATTTCTTCCGATTTAAAAAGTTGAAACATGGAGAATTTAACAAAAAAATAGAGAAACTGATTAATTGGACTTATTACTAATTTTTCTGGACTGTTGTTGTAAATATAAGATCGGGAAAGTGATGCGAATACAAAAAGTGCCAAGGAACAGAACAGCCAAACAGCCGGTGAAGGAGTGTGTGAATGGTAGTTCGGTCTTAGAAAGGCATGATCAACTTGTGTGGAGAGACTATGAAGAACTAGTATTGGCATCTAACAAAGAAACATTGGAGCAACTTTATATTCAGCATGTTATGAGCCCATTGTTAGGTCCCAAACACGTTGATGCTGGAGTATGTTTCTTCACTTGTACTTTCATAGTCTTTAGTGTGGAANTTTTGGACCAATTTGGTGGTGCAATGGGTTGGAGATGGTCATAAAGATTGTGTGATCGGTAGATATGTTAGATATTGGATCATATATATATATAGCGCCAATTAATTTTTCAAGATACTAAAATTATTTTTATTAGCAACCAACGAGAAACACTTGAATTTAAAAATTGTTAAGTAATAAAACACTTGAATTTAAAAATTGCTAAGTAATAAATCCAAGTATCTCTACTAAATCAAAAGACGATTCGAAAATAATTTTGAAGTCAGAGAAATATGATTAAGAATTTTGACATCTCCAAATATTTTACCAGCTAACTGTAATTGCACTTTTTATTTATCAAGGGAATATTATGAAATTTAAGCATACAGTTAACGAAAAAGAAGACTTGTTCCAAAAACATCAGTAAATTATCCCAAAAATTTTACTGGGATATAAAAGTATACAAGTTCGAAAATCAATTCTGTTTTTAATTTGAAGTTAATCAGTCAGATGAGGCTGAGCTGATAATGCCATGTGTCTTTCGCTTTTTTCAAAAGGTGGGAATTCAACGAAACGGTGTGATTTGTGCTCTTTCAGTTTCAGCCGTTGGACTTGGAATCGGATGCTCCATTTTTGTCGCAAGCAGAGGAATTGAAACTCGTTGCTTCAAAGCAAAACAACTTTTCAATTTCACCATTTATTCCCCAGTTGCATCACTCGTTGTGCTTTAAGCTATCTCATCGGAGCTGTCTCTGTCCATTTCTAGATCAGGTAATCAAAGATGATTTCTCCAATTTCAACGGTTATTGTTTCTTTTTGCTTTGAAATTATTAATATGGTATAATGTACTCTGATGTCGAAATGAATCTCAGATATCACTATGATGGAGGTCATTTTAGACCAAAAGGACGCTGCCGATTGGGTTTATAGAGGAGAAGGAGCCGTAAATCTTGTTCTCGCTTACACCGGATCTTCTCCCGCTTTTGTACGTCTTCATACCATAAGTTTTTTATTTCTTCCGATTTAAAAAGTTGAAACATGGAGAATTTAACAAAAAAATAGAGAAACTGATTAATTGGACTTATTACTAATTTTTCTGGACTGTTGTTGTAAATATAAGATCGGGAAAGTGATGCGAATACAAAAAGTGCCAAGGAACAGAACAGCCAAACAGCCGGTGAAGGAGTGTGTGAATGGTAGTTCGGTCTTAGAAAGGCATGATCAACTTGTGTGGAGAGACTATGAAGAACTAGTATTGGCATCTAACAAAGAAACATTGGAGCAACTTTATATTCAGCATGTTATGAGCCCATTGTTAGGTCCCAAACACGTTGATGCTGGAGTATGTTTCTTCACTTGTACTTTCATAGTCTTTAGTGTGGAAATTTTAGTTAGAACTGATTTATAGGAGAATATGGGATATAATTTAGCAGAAGTTATGTATTTTTATAATGAATCACCTTGTCCACATCTATCTCCCTTGAATATGCTGCAATTCAGCCCTGCTTAAAATTAATTTTGGAGGATTAATTTTATCTATGATTGAAATTTATGTTGTTTGTGATAAATATTGATGTGATGGAATTCTCGGGATGAAAGCTTAGTACTTGTGGTTTCATCAATTGAAAACTGAATGTGTTTGTTTGTTGTTTATTTGATTGTGTTATCGAAAATGTTAGTAACATTTGAATTCTATTTCAAATCATGTTGAGTGGCCGTTAAAATGTTGTGATTATGATCTATTTTGTCTCTCTTTGTTGAACTTGGCAGATGCGTGTCCTTGTAACCAGGGCATTTCTTGAGTATGTTCAAAAGGATGCTTTGTGCCAGCGTCCTGCCTTGCGAGTTGATGCTGCTGAGGTTGATGCACATTGTGATTCTGTGCTTCTTTTGTCTGATCATACTCTTTTTCCTCAAGGTAATCGTGATCCTCTGAAATGTTCCTAAAAGAAAAAAAAAAAGTATCCTCTATTGTTTATGGTACTTGTAGTAAATTCAGTAAACAGGTAGTTTAGCTTGTAAAAGCAGGCACTGAGATCTTCTTACATGTATTAAAAAAGAGAAAAAAGCTTTGTATTCAAGGGAGTGGTAGTTTATTCTACATTTTCATTTCAGGTATTCTCAATGGGGAACCCTGCATTGCTGTTGAAATTAAGGTGCTCCCTAGTTATTGCTTGCATTTCATTTATTTTTCAAACTGTTGTTTGTGTGTCAGTGTTTATATGATACCTTTTCTTTTGACCTTCATAATGCTATTTTTGCATTAGTAACCTATTTTTTCCTGTAAATTAGCCCAAATGTGGATTTCTCCCGGTTTCATCCTTCATAGCTGAAGAAAATGCCATTAAAAGGAGAATGACTCGTTATAGAATACATCAAGCCCTAAAGTTGCATCAAAAGGAGGTCATTTTTCTTCCAATCGCTATGTATTTCTTTGAGTCTCAGCTAGTTGTCTTTTATATTTATACCATCATATCACTTCAATTTTTGCAAAAGATTTTGTTCTAAAAGAAGCCCAGTTCTTTTCATATATTGCTTGTAGTAGGAATACTCTTTATGGCTATCTAACTTGAAAATTAATTTAATTTCCACTTCTCATCCTGATAAACATCTCCAAATTATGTTACAGATATCAGAGCTAAGTGACTATGATCCACTGGACCTGTTCTCTGGGTCCAAGGAAAGAATGAGTAAAGCTATCAAAGCTCTCTATACCACTCCTCAGAACAATTTGCGGGTATTCTTGAATGGCTCTCTTATACTTGGGGGCTTGGGTGGTACCACTGGCAGTACTAATTTTGCAATTGAAGAAGCATTTGAAGATGCTCTCAAGTGTGTTATTCAAGCAGATGATGGTCAGCGCACAAATAGTTTTATACAGCTTGTTTCTGAGGCAGCTTATCATTCTGGAATACTGGACCGACTTCTTGAAGCTCAGAAGCTCGATTATTGTGACATTGAAGGGGCAATTCATGCATATTACAACATTATTTCTCAGCCTTGCAAGGCATGCAAAAACTTAGATGAACAGAAAGTATCACACCAGTATACCTCTTGGCATTCCATTCCTTTGGATGAAAGTTTGAAGATTGTGAGGGACTATTTGATAGCTGCAACTGCAAAGGACTGTAGTTTGATAATTTGTTTTAGACCAAAGGGTGATGAGGTTTCAGGATCTTCCTATAATAGTGTTTACTTAGAATCAACCAACCAAGTTTTTGAATACAAGGTAAATGGCACTTTACATGGTGCATTCAAGTTTTACATGTGCAGTTGGTATTAGCCACAATGAAGTGTTTGGATCATGATTGAAACCACAGATCCTTTTCCATTCTCCTTTTATTTACCATAAAATTTAAAAAAAAAAAAAAATGAGAGAGAGAGAGAGAGATATGAATTGTTCGAGAACATTGGTATCATCACCTCTTACTCATAAGTACAACATTTCAAATAGATGCTTGCATAAAATTATTCATATGCCATAACCAGATTATAAATTCTTTTCGATGTAGAAAATATTAAGATTTATATCGTTATATTTATATATGTGTGTGTGTGTGTGTGTGTGTTTAGTTTCCATGTGCCTTTAGTTTTGTTCTCTAATCATTCAATGAAATCTGAGGGAAAATATTATATATGTTGTGGTAATATTTTGTTGGTGTTTTCACAACCTACTCTTTAGATATATTTATTTATTAAATTTGCTTCTTTGAAGTTTTATCACTCCAAGGTGCTTTTTTTTGTGACATTGAAAATTTATCCAAGTTGCAATTGTCTAGGTGTATTTCATTGACCTGGATTTGAAACCTTTGGAGAAAATGGAGGAGCATTATGAAAAAGACAAGAAAATAGTGAACTGTTACATTCAGAAGCTATGTGGTGAGCATGGAGTCAACAGAGATGTCACCATGAACAATTACTAAAACACACATTAAAAATACAATCCTGAGCCTTGGAGGATACTTTTTGCTGAACATAGTGCTGGTAAGTGCTGGTAGTTTGACATATGTTCATTATTAAATTGTACTTCTTAACTTTCTAAGAGTTTGTATGGCTACTATTAGTATTGCGTTTCACATTTCTTACCTTCTTTGTGGGCTTAGGATTTCACTTCTCAAGTTTTTATTAGTTTCTGGATCTTTCTTTTGTTTGTTCCTACTTCTGTTGTGGCACCCGAAAGTTTTGACAATTTAATCTGAGCTAAATATATATAATGACTTCGATTTACTTTTTGCATATTGGTTTGGTCCATGACTGAATTCAGTTGGTTCTTAAGTTTGATGAATACCCTTTCTTTGATCTGTCATGTAACATATTATCAATTGCCTTAGAATTGGTTAAATGGTTAAATTGCTTGCACAATTATGTCTACCCTAACAAGTGATACTAATAATTGACTTCTGTTTTACTTTCTATTACTGATTTAAGTAAAAAATAAGATCACTTCTTGTTCTTTGTACTCCATTAAGCTTTTCTCTACCTCAGGTTTTGAGTCGATGTTTATTCACACAAATGTATTATTGTCATCATAATTTGGCATTCAACTCTATATTGACGTGCCATTTGGTTTCTTGAGGTGGCTGAGTCAGTTATTTATTCTTGTTTCTTTTTGCTGGGGACTTAATGAAGGAGTAGCATTCAACTATATATTGACGTACCATCTGGTTTCTTGTGGTGGCTGTCAGTTATTCATTCTTGTTTCTTTTAGCTGGGGGCTTAATGAAGGAGAGGGGTTGAAAATGACAGAACAGAGTAAAAGGGGCCTGTAAGGAAATCACTATGCCAACTAATTCAATGCCATTTCATCCCAATTCCACATGGGCCTATTAATTCATACAGCTGGATCTCTGAATTAACTATGGGGTGTAGAAACTGATTAGGACTGCGTTACTTTACCTTTTGATGGTGGAAATTGAGGTCATGGCAGTGCTCCTTTGATAATACTTGTTTTTTTAAAGATTGGAAGCTGTTAAAGGAAGCTGTTAAAGGACTGCTCTGTATGTTTTGCAGTCTTTCTTTTCACTTATCAGAAAAAAAAGTTCTTTTTCATTGTTTTTGAAGTGTCAAATGATTGGCCTGTGAGAAAAAAATTGTTCCCAACATTATTTCAAGTTTTTAGTCAAGAGACCTCCAAAAGGATGCACAAGAAGAATTGCTTGTTCAAACTACATCTACATTCGTAGTAGAGTTACAGGATATCGTAAACTGTTTCTTTTGTGGGAATTCTCTCTTTCTGATCTCTTTTGACTTGTGCGGGGTGGAATCATGGTCCTTGGTCATCTCAGCTATAACCATGGACAAGCATTCACTTCAAAGCTGTGGCCACTTGGTGAAAAATCTGAAATTTCTTTCTTGGGCCCACTATAGGGGCCAAATAATCCTGACAGAGAAGTTCTGTAAATTTTTGAATTACATGCAATTAAAAGCATTTGCTTTAAGGTTTTATTTACACAGTTGTGCAAATGTTTGGGCTGGTAAGAGTGGTGAAGTGCCATGGGAAATTGCTTGGGTCATGGACAATCGGTGCTCTGTGTTCTTTAGTTTTACATGACCCTCAATTGTTTGTATTTACGGTTTGCCACTAGCATGTCAATATGAATATAAAAGGAACACTTATGTGTTAAGATGGTTCTAATATTTTAACTAATGTAGTAATATTGCAATACTTGTAAGTATCTCTTGTATCCTAAGCAATGTGACTTCAATTTGATATCACACTTAATGATGAGATGATTTATAAGTGATTTAATTATATTAAATTAACTGCCACATCACTTTTGGATACAAAGATGGGATACTTGGTAATTTTAGCATTACTCTTTTCTTATACATGCTGATGATAGTGACACTTAAGAATTTGGATTAATGTTCTCTGTTTCCTTAATATGTTGTAATCCATCTTATTTACTTTTATCAAAATTACCTATCTTGTATTGTTGGAAATTGTCTCCACGGTATGCTTTACTTTGCCTTTTAAATTATATTCTAAATGCAGCAACATTGTTTTACTTTATAAATGCAACTTCTGGTTTACACAAATTGAATATTTTGAGTAATAGTCAAGAGTTTTTTCTTTTCTTTTCTTTCAGTAAATAGAACAAGTTTCTACATTGGATTTCGGTTCTGAGGTGAAGTTGGTCTCTAAATTCATTGCTTGGTTCTCCCTTGTACAAACAAATTAAAGGTTGCGTACTACGGTTGAGCAGTGTTGGTATTTTAATCCGCCTAGTTGAACAATCATGTGGTGAATACATTGGTAGCAGCTCAGCTTTACCATGTACTCAAAAATGAGTCTTGACTTGTTGAAGGTCCTCTCTCTCTCTCTCTCTCTCTCTCGTACAGCCAAAAATGAATTAAATAGGATTAGGTTGCAGAGGTGGGCCAAATTTTGTCCATTCAGCTGACTTTTCTGTTCCTGCTAATATTCACTTGAAAGACTAATGGATTTATTTACTGTCCTAAACAATAATGTTATTTCCAACCCACAACTACAAAAAGTTTGTGGTTACAGCCGGATCAAACTGTTTAAACAAAATCACGGTTTGGATTGGTTGGACTTTGAACAAGTGCAACGTTTGTGAGACAGAAGCTGGATTCAGATACTGAATGCCATGTCCAATATCATTTTGTCTAATATTCATAGCTTTGGTGGCATCAGAATTCATGGTTGTTTTACATAATGCGTACTGGGTAGCATATCAATGCATGATTTTATCGCTGTAGCAGATGTCTGATTTGTGTTTTGTAATTGGAAAATATTACCTTAAAGAACTAGGAGTTTACTTTGATACATGTTAACTGAGGCACACCTTATTCTTATTTGTGGTCTCTGGAGATCACCAAGCTTTACTTACCTGACAGAATTTAGTTACATTTATATTACAAAATATGGTTCAAGTCTTGATTAGTGCGTGCCTGTGAAAAATCTGCATTAAATGTATATGGGAATTCATAGGTGATACAATCAAGAGCCTACTTACTAGCATTTACTTGTCAGCAACTAACTCTGTCACCACATTTAGTCTTCAACCAAAATTCTACCCAAAAGCTCAAGTATTATCCACTACTTTCAATTGAATTATAAAGAAGTGGAGTAAGATAGTGATTTATATATAGTCACTTGGGACCTATACATATTTTCTGAGTCAGCTTTTCCATTCCAGTTTTTTATATGATTTATGTTGGTGTAATACTTTAACGAAATTCATGTTGAAGGTTCGATCTCTACTTGAATTTATAGAATTATAAATTATATATTACTTCATGTTCATGTAGTGTTCTATATTTTGTATATTGAATTTATGACTTACCATTATTCTGAGCCACTCTTAACTCTCGCTGACAATGTGCAGAACTTTCTGTTCATCTGTATGGTAAACTTTAAGTGGTCTGAGCTCATATTTAGTACTGAGGAATCTGACTCTTTTTCTGGTGCAGAAAACTGTAGTGTCAGTGGAACTACTCTGCTCAAAGTGCGGGCAAAAGGTGATGAAGTTAATTGCAGAACTAGGAGGGATAACTTCCATTGTCTTGGACCCATCAAAGAATACAGTAACAGTCATTGGTGAAGCTGATCCAGTGAAGATCATCAAGCAGGTTAGAAAGTTCAGGAAAACTGCGAGGATCGATAGTGTAGGGCCTCCCAAGGAGGAGAAGAAGGATGAGAAGAAAGATGTCATTACTTACACTACAAAGCCATGTCAACATTGTGATGTTTGGTATGTGGTCAGTGACGATAAGTACCAGTACTGTTCCATTATGTAACTCAGACTGAGACACCCATGCTTTCTGAATCTTGATTATTTGTCTTGGTTATGTTTCCTTCTATTTCATGCATTTAAAAATACTTGATTAGTGTTCAGCTAATATAATCTCTGGTAGCTCTGAATTCCTGCTAATGCATACCATTTTCATTGAAGTGTTTGTTCTTTTTCCGATTTCGTACATAAATCAAATGAATTAGCAGTATTTTCTATTCAATAAAATTACGTTTACAATTTTTTCATACAATTTTTTTATATAACCTTGAGATGATAGTTTGCGATTGGTAAGTTTGTATTTAGACAGATGGAATCTACTGTAAGCTAATTAATCATGAATTGTCACATCAAGATTGTATAAAAAAGTTGTAAGTATAATGTTGGTCGGTACTCTTTCCTTAAGTTTCTTCTGAATGTATTCTTTGAGATGCTTATGGTTTTCCATTTAGTGCTTTTTGTCTCCGAGCCATCTCTCAGACGCAGTACAATTATTGCGTGAACATTAATTGCCAAACTGTATTTTGCCGATCAATTCTGTATTAAAGTCTTGTGTTATAATAAAAGTAGTTGATAAAATCATTAATAAGTAATCAAAAGATTGGGACATATATTTAATTAGGTAGGTGGCATATTGCATGTGTTTCATGGTCCAAAATTATATTGTGGGAGCAGTGGGGCTGTTCAGGCAAGACTTAAGGCAATTGGTGAAGGTAAGCTAGTCAAAACATAAAACTGTATCCTGATTTCCAACAAGTGATGATGGGTCGCTGTAGGGATGTATGTTTACAAAGATGATAGTATTAAATAAGAAGTTAACATAAGCTAATCGTTATCGTGGATGTGTCTATCAGCAATGCCATATCAAACTGAAAGCTCGGTTCAACTTTCTGTAGGAAAAGGACTTTGGGGAAAAGGTGGTCACATTTTTAGTATTGTATTTGCTAAATGATAAAGTTTTAACTCCTAGCCAAGTATATATATAAGATAGACCAGGTCTTCCAGATTGCCTTTAAAAAAAAAAAAAAAAAAAAAAAAAAAAAAAAAAAAAAAAAAAAAAAAAAAAAAATTAAGAATAATTTATGATTAGCTGATTCTCAAGTTTCGCATTAATCATCTATCGTCCATTCAAAAAAATTTTACAAAATCAATTACCAAAGTTTGGATAATTTTAAATTAGACTTGATTCATTTTATTTAATTAATTATTTACACTTTTCTATATAACCATCTTTGCTCGGTTTCCTAACAAACCTGCCTACTATGGTTAATAAATTTAAAATATTAATTATATTTCAATATTTTTAATATATATATTTCAAAGATTTAAAAAAAAAAAAAGTTTTAAGAACATAGCAATGAAGTTGAAGAGCATATGAAACTATGGGATGAGATAAGGCCCTGTAATTAAGGATGAGCTTTCAAAAGAAGAATTGCGCTTTAGTAGTAACCCTAACCCACACAAGTCCGGAAAAGGAACTGTTAACTCACTCCATTAAAAGCTTCAAAATGTAACTTACGAAAATGGTCAAACTGATAAATTTTTAATGGTCCAATAATCGGACAAAACAAATCAAAGCAAATGAAATAAGGCACTGCAGTTTTGTAAATGGAGCAACAATAGTAATTGAAAAAGAAGAAGAAAAGAAAAGACGAGAGACATTTTGGGGGGTATTTGCTGATTTTGTTAACCGCAAAGTGTAACTCAAATTTACAAAGGAAGTGGGCATTATATAGACTCCATTGCCTTTCAGAGGCCCAATAAGAAGTGCCTAAACATTGGGCTAATGGAATGGTAACACCTCGAAAGCAAAGCAAGTTGCCTTGCGACTCGCTGGACTAACTTGTTCTTCAAATGTGAAATCCATATTTTATAACACATAACTTTTTAAAATCTAAATATAAACCAACACAGAAATTTATCCCCCACCCACAGCGCATATCAAGCTGTCCAGGTTTGGAAAATACTTCACTTATCGATCTTACAGATCGATTTCCCATCCCGAGTGACATGAAGTGCAATGTGAAGAGTCCCCATGCTGACCACGTTGCACTCCACATCAATCGGGATGAGAAATCTATCTACAAAATGGGTGAGTGTAGTCTTGCTATTTCTATTTGATAGAAAATTTTTTTTAACACAAATATAACAATTTCGTTTATGATGTTTGTCTAACGAGTTTAGTAGAATTTTAGTATATTACTTATACCAAACCTCTATGAGCACTAGAACATTGTGAAAATATTCTAAAAATGGCCGGAGCCACTGCTACTGCTGTTTGTAAAACTGTTTCAGACGCTCCAATCCCCAACTCTGTCAGACTGTCACTGATTACTTCCGTTCGCACCTTCAAAATTTATGCACTTGTTTATCCAATCAAGTCACCATTCTCGTTGAAGAGTTTGATGGGCACAACTCCAATAGTATTTTTGATGCTGCCAATCTCTACTTGGGTGCCACTTTATCATCATCAACACAAAAAATAAAGGTCAAAAAGCTAGCAAAAGAGCGAGAATTCACTGTGAGTATCAATATGAATAAAAAATTGCTTGATTATTATAAGGGTGAGAAGTTGAAATATTGCTTTGAACAGTTGCTGACAATAGTAGGATTAGAATGACAAGAGAATGTTTCATCATATTCTTACCAATTATCTGAATCACGCAACCAAACCCCTGGAGAGATTGTGAAAGATACTAAACTCGGAATTTGAGTGCATTGGTCAAAATTACTTGAGACTGTTTTGAATGACAGCATCTACATAAAGTCCTGATCAAAATCATCTACAAAGGTAATGCAGCAGTGGGACTAATAATGGCGTTCAGGCTCGTGTTATGTAACACGTGAAATCAAATAAACAAGGAATAGGATAAAAGAGCAGCCAGAAAAAAGGAAAAAAAATATACACATGAAATATACTAATACCCCATCTTTTACAAACTCTAGACAGCCATTTTCATCTCCATCTTGTGAGGATTATAACCAATTAGTTCAAAGTCAGATGCCACAAATGAAACAATGTCCTTGTTCTCTGGATTGATCCTCAAAATCTGCAGCGCAAATTGCACAAATTAAAGAAAGGGAAAGAGAAATTCCTTGTTTTGAAATATGATAACAGCATAAAGGAAAAATTAAAATTGCCCATTACATTGGGGTAAACTATAATTTCACTGTAAGTCCTTTTCAAGTACAGTGTATTACCATATGTTAGTTACTTTAATACAAATACCATATCCGAAGTGCAATTAACCTTGGAAGAAACTCTCGGTAGTATGACAATTTGTGGTTTTCTCGCTTTAAGTTACCTAATATCCTCCATGACTGTTTTCCTAAAAATTGAAGTGGATATTTACTTGTTTAGCATCTCTACCAACGAGAGATTTATACTGAGGAGCTTCCTCTGTAAGATATATATGCTCTTGTAAAAGATGGGATGGACAACGTTATTCTTTGCTGTTAATTAATAAAAAATTTCTCTCCACCGATATATATATATATATGAGAGAGAAAAAAATGCAATTTAACATTGCTGAAGATTAAGAGTGTATTAAGGGGTAAGATGTCCATGAATATGAAGACCAACGCGTAACTCTTTCTGAAACCACTGGATTTCAAAGGGTGAGATTATGACCAAAAGATAATGGCATCGTAACAGAGGGTGTTCAACTATTGGACAAGGGTCATGCTATTTAACAGAAACAAAATGAGAATCGTAAGCAAACAGCAAGAGTGGTGAAGTTATCTAATGTTACTATATTCATCCAATTCAACTGGCATCAAATTACAGTCTACATACAGGGAAGGGTTTAGGACGCTGCTGAAGTTGTTCCTGCAGCACCCTGATATGGGTTTTGTAAGCATAAGCATCTCCAATAACATGAATAAAACCACCAGGAACAAGATCTGTACAGGCAAATTGCAGGAAAGATTCTTTATGAGGTCATGAATGAGATGATCTTGAAAAAGCAAGCTACAAGGAAAAAGAAAAAGAAACTAGCAACTAGAATTAAAAATACTCAAAATAAGTCAAATACTCAATAGTGAAAATAAACACACCGCAAACATGAGCAATCATGGATGTTAATAATGCATAAGATGCAATATTAAATGGAACCCCGATAGCCATATCACCAGAACACTGATACATTTGACAGGACAGCTCTCCATTGGTTATAGAGAACTGCAAAGTAAAGATATATAGCATTAAATAGAAAATAAAGGGAAAAAAATTAAAAGAGAAGTAATGTGTCATGTTCCAGACCTGTGCAAATATGTGACAAGGTAGATGGTTCATCAGTTTGAGATCTGATGGATTCCATGCTGCAAGGATGATTCTTTTGTCATCTGGTCTATTCTTGATTTTATCAATAACATCCAACAACTGATCATATCCTTGGCCTGCGTAGTCAGCATGTGTGTTGGTATCTCTGCAAATTAAAACCATAAGAGAGGATGGTTGGAACTTGAGAAAGAATTGCAATTCCTTTACAATAAAAGAAAATAACTAACCTGGCACCGAAGTGTCTTTCCTGGAGTCCATCTATAGGTCCCAGGTCACCATCTTCTCTTTCTGATAAAGATAAGCTGAGAAATATGAATACATCAGTTGGGATTGCAAGGATAAAGTATTATTCAAGTATGTGAAATCACATAGTCAAGTATTTGCCTCTCTAGGTAGTCCCTCGATTCATTTCCAGTCCATATATCAATGCCTTTCTCTCGTAGAACCTGTTGGAAATGAAGTGTTCACTACTAATAGATTCTAGTCAATTTTAGAAAGTTATAAAATACTTCAGCAGATGAATGTTGATTATACAAATTGATAATCGACCAGGAAGCAATTTAGATTACTTCGTGCCTATATGCCAACATTTCGAAAACATTTGAAAGTAAATAATAATCATAACAAAGAACAGCTAGCAGATGTTGGCTTCATTTCATTTCTATCAGGTGTGATTGAACGAAAAACGCTTCATAATACATTGGAAAAATGATGAAGATGTAGATACCTTCGAATTTGTTGCACCACTAACAAACCACAAAAGTTTTTCAATAACTCCTTCCCAAAGTACATTCTGTGAAATACATGAATTGAAAAAAAATTCAGAAACATTAATGAAGAAATATCTCAAAATGGCTGATGAAGCTTTGAAATCCCAAAGAGATCTGATAATTAACATTTTTGGCCAAAAATTCTTTCATTAAAGAACAAAAGACCAAAGATGCTGAAATTTGGAGGGACACTAGAAGTAGTGTAATACCTTAGCTGTAAGGAGTGGAAAAGTTCTTCGCAGATTGAACTTCATCTATAGGGGCAGCAAAGTTAAGTGCAAGATGAAATCGTTGTTACATCATTCAAATTATAGCATACGTCTCGAGAACAATAATTAACAAGGAAAAATAATCAAGAGAGTCGAAAAACCTTGTTCCACTTTTACCTGGCAACCAAATATTGATAGAGTATCAGTCTCTGTACTGTCACGCTTCTGGTTGCCACTTGAGATAATTTCTTGAACTAGTCTCAAATACATATACTCTTCATGTCTCTTAAAAATAAGTTTTGGCAGGAATGTAAACTTTTTCACCCAAAATTTATTGAAATCTGAACTACTCCATTCCATTTTGTTTCTTGCAATTAGATCTCCATTAGCAAGATTTCTCACACGAACATAAGTAACAAAAGAAAACCGAATGCTGTTTTCCACAAATGGTTGAGATGAATACCATGGCTGAAACAAAGATAGATCAATTGCAGGAATGAAGGTATCACATTCAATGCTATTCTCAATCTCAGTAATGTGGATGGCATCACACCCCGGTGCATTTAGACCTTCCCTGCATCAGGAAACATCAGCATACATGTTTTCACATACAAATTGTAAAATTTTACTCAGAGAAAAAAGAAAAAAACCGGGAACCCACCTTAATATCTGACCACCACCTATAACAAACACCTTCTCTATTGACAAATAATAAGGAACTTCCGCCAACAATTCCAAAGCCGAAGTAATGCTTTTACATATTACAACATCTTCAGCAGATGCAGTATCGAATCTCCCAGAACGAGTCAGCACAACATTCAATCGACCAGATAGAGGTCGATACTGAAGGGGAATGCTTTCCCATGTCTTCCTACCCATAACTATAGCATTTTTCTTCCCATGATCTGATGTAGTCACCGTAAGCTCCTTGAAGAATTTGAGGTCAGAAGGCAACCTCCAGGGTAACTCCCCATCCTTTCCAATGCCCATATCACGTGTTGCAGCCACTACAACTTGGTAAGTCCTCGGTAATGGTGGTATTGGTGGATGCATGGTTGTATTGTCATTAGATGGTCTCGTAAGATTGTTATCGGCCTTAGAATAAAACTTTAGGCTGGGCAATGGAGACACAGTTGCAAGATTGTAGATGCTACAATTAAAAGAACTAAGTAGAACCTGAAAAGTGATGATCACAAAAATTATCATCTGCGAGAACAACAGAAATTAGAAACAGAAAATAGTTGAGCAAATAAAAAAAATAAAAAAAAAATTCAATGATGAGAAACAAACTTCATGTTTAAATTTATCTGTTATTACAAAATTCGACGTCATCTTAAGAGTAGAGGCCATAAAAACCTTTGAAAAGAGTCGGTTACTCTGAGCACAGTATTGGATCACCATCTGTATATCGCTGGAACCTAGCCAGATCCACGATTACGCTAAAACATATAATTTAAAGCACTATAATTCTAATGGAAAAGCTCAGAGAAAATGAATTACCGAAAGAGAAAATGAATTACCGAATTATAAGTCAGTTAACTCTTCATAGGAATCTAAAATTTAAAAAAAAAAAAAAAAAAATAGTAATAGTGAAATAGAAAAGAGAAAATTAGATACGAGAACCTGACGAGAAATGATTCAGGGATAGAGAAATGATAGGATAGTGTTTCTGGAAACAGAACCCGCAAGAAGAAGTGAGATTAGAGCGCCAAACTGCAAACTCGTTTTTGGATAACGGAAGAAAAGAGGGAAAAGGAATAGAAATCATTTTAAATCAATACATTGATTTGCATTTGCCTTCATCACGTAACAAATGCGACTGATTCCTAAATCCCTCAATACCTTTCTTTACTTCATGACATTACATGCGCAAAATGCTCCCAAAAATTCTACCATGTACGGCACAAGTCATCAAATAATTGAAATGACCATTTTTCCTACTATTTTTATCCGTACTCGAAAAAATGTTCTGTTCATTTGTACTGTTACTGTAACTGAATTGTAGAAGCGAAAATCAACAAGTTGACGGCTGATAGCTGCTTGATGATGCTCCCAATCTAATATTTTCTCCATTAAAAAAATGCACCATCACAGATTCGGCATTCTATAAATCTGAAGGATTCTGCATTCCATATAATTATCATAAGACTAGAGAGACAGCGATGCATCTAATCTCCTTAATAGATGCAAAATTACCAGGAAAAAAAAAATGGTCTCATTTTATTTCACCACCTGTCCCGTATACAAAATAAACAAGATCTCTGTTACAATAATCAGCAGCCTCACCGAGGAAAGCTCTATCAACATTCTCAACCATTCTCACGGAAGGCAAACTTCCGGCATCAAAGTCTAGAAATGTGTCCTTAAACCCATGATTGTGATAAACATTGTAGTAAAAATTACTATTCATGTAAAATATAGAATGGAAATGAAGTGACGCCACATATCGCCCCCTATACAGAAATCTCTTCTCTCACTTCAACAGCAAAATTTCTTTTTCGCTTCACCTGGGAGTGAGAAAATCATTATACAGGTAAATTTGAAACGTTTGTCATTTTTCAAATCTTGATAGAAGCCTTACCGCATCTTTGTTTTCTGACGTCCATGTAGCAAACGTTCGTCTTGCCTCATTAAGCTTCATACAGAGCCTGCTCACAAGAAGCATATAAATTTACCAATTGATACTGCAACACAAAACAAAATATAACACTATTGCCAGGAAAGATGACAACTACTTTGCTCTTAAATGTTATTCCCAAACCCCTTTAATAACACAGCAGCCTCTTTCAGGAACCTTAAATTACTCAAGACAACATTGCACTGAGTGAACAGACAAGTAAACCTTCCACGTTTAAAAATGGAAGTGTACTTGCAGACGAATTAGCCATCTGAACGTGCATAAAATGGCCAAGAACCATTCCCATAGAAACTTACAATTTGCACCCAAAACTTATTAATTTAGCCTCAAATTCGAGAAAGAGCACAACTCCTGTAAGCTTACTAAAGTTAAGGCAAGGGATGCTGTAGGTCATCATGACTCTAAAGCACAAGTAGAATTGCAGAGTGCAAAACTTGAAAGAACGTCCAAAATTAAATTTATTAAACGATCCAAGTATTCAGCATAAATTAAAAACCCAAATTCATTTGGGATCTATAGCAATGGGTACAATAAGCTCCATCTCCAATAAAGCACTTCATAGTTTTGGAACATCGCTATAATTTTCAAATAGGTGAAGACAAGACAGTGAATCTTCATATTCCTGCAAGTAACAAATTATAAAATGAAAATAATTACCTTTTTTGTAGCAATGAGCTCTGCTTCTAATGCATGAACACGATAGACAGCAACATTCAATAATTCCTCTTTCTCACAAGGCATCTGGTAAGGCCTTTCCTGCAGTACGTCAACCTTCCCCTCAAGCTCACCCAGCCTTCGGAAAACAGGCGAGAGGGTGTCCTCAGTAAACCTGAGCATAGGTGAAGGGGTATGAAACTCCTCCTCGGGCATTGGATCAACAGGCAACTCGGTTATGCTTTGGACAGAATCAGACACAGAATCTTTCTCATTCACTCGGAGTTCCCGTGAACAGACAAGAGTAATAAGGCTAGCAAAGAAGGCGAGCACCATCGCCCATATACGAGCACAGGTTCCCCATGGACCTCTTTCTACTCTTAACAGAAAGTGCGAACCTGTGATGGATTGCACTCCATAAGTTTTATATCAGATCAACAGAAATAATAGTAGATGATACAATAAGATCAGCTCCAATTTCTACTTAAAATATACTTATGGCGCAATTGAGCTATCTAACCTTGGGAAGAATAATATGGATTTTGAGGGGACACTTGTTTCTTCCATCCCACATCTACAGTCTTGTCAATAACAGGTACATATTCATCGTACTCAGAGAAGCCACCTGTGCTGCTTGCCTTACCAACCACTCTAGGCTATATAATCATCAAAGCATTATTGACTATGTTAAAAGTGAAGTCCATTCCCTATCATTTAATGACTACAAACATGAGGTTTTAGTATAGGAATGTACACAGGAAAATTAAGTTAAAAAATGTTGAATGGAACTTTTCAAACCATTTGCTGTTTGATATTTTGGTAATTATTGGAAATTAATTCGTCTGGAGATGAGAGTTGTGCCTTTAATATGCTATGCAACAAAAAATATGCAATATTTGTTCGTATACCAGATGACCACATCATAACACTCAAGATTGTGATTTAATTATGGTCATGTCAAAAGGACAGGATAGGAAAAGGAAACCCTTTGCTCCATAGGTGGCAGCATGTAATCAACTCAGTGATTGACTACAGGCTAGATGTTAATTGTACAACCGTATCAAACAGAAACAGAACATCTGACAGAAGTACAATATAAGAGCAGAATACACTGCACGCTCATACAAAAATAAAAACCAAACATACACATCAACTTCATCTCTACATCCATCCAATTAATTAGGGTCTTTTTATGGTTAATCATATCAATTACAAAATGACTTACTTCTTCAGAGACAGGAGTCAACCTGGGAACCAGGTAGCTCGATGTCGGTTTAGGTGAAGCGATTTCTTCTACTTCAGATCCTGACTCTGCAGCAGACGTGTCACTACCTTTAATCTGATGCGAAAAATTAAAAAGGTATGCATTAGAGAAAGGTGATTGGATTTTGAAATTTTAAAGGCTAAGCTGACTTCTATGTTATAAACTATGAAAAATGGTCCCTTGACCATACCATTGAAAAACGTGGCTTATCACGAGCAATTACCCTGCCCTCACCATTCAAAACAGTCACTATTTGTCTGGAACATAATGTTTCACCACTAAGGACCATCTGCATGCAGATAAATAATCATTTTGATAAAGCATAACAAGAGGTACAAGAAGTTTGGTGTGAACGAACTCAAATAACAAGATTATTAACATCCAACAATTTCAAATTAAGCACCAAACCTTTAATATATTTGGATCTTTCCAAGGCCCCTTATTAGATCTCATACAACCTCCTTGATCAGCACAGTTACAGTCACCACCGAGAAACTCTGGCAACTCACTGGACAAGTTCCAATATACATAAAATGTATAGAAGGTTAAAAAAAAAAGAAAAAGGAATGAAAATAACCAGTGCACTCACAAAACTGAAAATGTCTAATCACCTTGCATCGATTATTTCAAGTAATTTATTCTGATACTTGTTACCAAGAACCTGAGGGAATTACCAGAAAAATTAGTTGATCATATAGTAAATTGCTGCAAATTGTGAAGAGTTTGATGATTTAATTAACATTAAGCAAAAACAAATTTTTAACAACTTCTCAAACTTGCCTGAATTTTGGCAGTAGTTTTAGGATCAAGAAAAGACTTCACTGTGTTCCATAGCAGCTTAAAACCAGAGCCAGCATTAATGATAAACATTCGGCGAAGTGTCTGCAGACATGCCATTTAAATTTAATAAACAGGATGTAATCTGAATTTGATTTCACCAATATTTATATCAAGAAATAATCCTCAAAATTAGTTTTAGAATACTCACAACTTGGATTACATACCTCAGGGTAGTTGTCACTATCAATCTTCTGCAACCGCTGGATGAGTTCACGTGCTGGCTTTGTTAGGTTTTTTAAGCCCTAAAATTTTGATCATACATTGAATAACTCAGAAAATTAAATATATATTGTGATAAACTGGTGCCAGGAGAAATCTAACATATTAACCTCTTTCTTTGGAGAAAAAAATGTCTCAAAAAAGTAGACAGCATACCACGCCTTGGACGTCTATAATAGTTGTACTTGAATCTATATGTCTCTTTGCAGCAACAGAACAGGCTGGAAACTTAATTGCAAAACATTTTTCGAATTCCAGTACGTGGTATCTCACATACCGATCCAAGGTGGTGACTTGTGTAAGCTTGTATGGATCAACTTTTCCAAGTCTTTCAATGTAAACAGGTCTTCCCTCCTTATCCACACCATGATAGCCTTGAGGGTAGTGCTGTAAAACTTCATCTAACTCACTGAAATCAAAATCCTGAAAAAGAAATTTTATCTGAAATAAGAGAAAGAACATGTCTTGAAACAAATAATATTTACATCAGAAGAAAAATTTAGACCTTCATTTTTCTTTTTTCTCAAAAAAAAAATAAAGGAAAAAATTGGTAATAGCAAATTAGAAAAATTGGCAGACAAAGTGGAAAATATAAGCAAACTGTTACATAAATTACCTCCAAAATTGTATCAGTTCCAAACTCTTTCCTCCACTGAATCATATTTGCCCACATGGACTTAGCTTTGTCAATATCAAATTTTCTAGCTTTCAAGAATCTGCACAAAAAAGAACCCTAGGGAATGAAACCTTACAGAAGATCAGAGTAACCTAAAACGGCTATCATCTTGCTGTCCATGCAACACATATATACATTAATACATTGTAATTTAAAAAGATTAAATCAAGGCATGAAATGCTCAAATATGAATCTGCAGTAATTCAGTCAAGCTGCAATAATATTAAATGAAAAACTAATATGCAATATGAGAAATATCACAACAGTGATCAAACTAGATATTCAAACGAAATAAATAAAGTAATTTAAGAAATAAACAGACAAACTAAGATTAGGAACCAATCAATTGATCACCTCAATAACATAAATAAAACACCATAGGAAAAAGGAAAGCAAGGTCACCTCAATAACATGTGATAATCATCATGTCTAGGAGGAAGCAAATCATCAGATACAAGTACTTGTCGAAATGCATCGACAGCCTGAAGCTCCTCAACATTACGAACATCCTCAATTGAAACAAAAATTCTATCATCACTTTTTCTCCTATTCTTTTTCTTAAAATTAGGTTTAAATTTACTAGATGCCTTTAATGCTTTCTTCTTCAGATTCCCCATTCTACTTTTCCTGTCATCCTCAGAATTCTCAAAATCTGATTTCCTCTCCCTTCTTTCATCATTGCTGGAAACTCCCTCAAAACCTGCAAGTCAGATCCCATAAGCATTCAACATTATCTCTTCAATATCTCAAAACGGAAACTGCCATTTCTGCAAAAATATTCATTAAAAAATTCCCAAGGAATTAACAATGAAAAGTTTGCCTCCGCATTCCTCATTATCGAATTTCCAAAAGTAACCGACATATAAAAAAACCCTAGAATTTACAAGGCAATTGTAGAATCTGAAACAGAGATGAAAAACAGAAAACCAATGTTTACTCACAAGGTCTTGCCAAACGATCAAGAGAACCGGACATGTCTATGAAATGATGGGATCAAGATCCAAAATTCTTAAAAGGGTAAGAGATCAAACTAAATTGCAGCGACGTAATTCGACAACATATTATGTTCTTAATTGTAGAAATTCTTAAGAGGTAAAGTATTTTTTTGGATCTTTGAATAGTTTTTAATGGCAATGGGACACTCCAGCTCATTTGTTGAGGTAGACAACAAAGGTAGAGTGGAGTAACCGTGTAAGGAAAAAAAGAGATGGTAAAATATGGTGCGAATTAATTAATTAATTAATTAATATTAATTGATTATTAAGAAAATAAAAAGTATTGATTGTCGGGGAAGCAAACTGCGAGGATAAAAAATATTAGGCGCCGAAGGAAAAGGTTGGAGTCGTTGCCTTCTTGGTGTAAATATGAGTTTCCAAAGCGGTTTGTCTTTTGGTGGTCCTACTTAAAAACTTGCCACGTGGCTATAAAGCGGCGTCGACTAGTGGNGAATTTACAAAGCAATTGTAGAATCTGAAACAGAGATGAAAAACAGAAAACCAATGTTTACTCACAAGGTCTTGCCAAACGATCAAGAGAACCGGACATGTCTATGAAATGATGGGATCAAGATCCAAAATTCTTAAAAGGGTAAGAGATCAAACTAAATTGCAGCGACGTAATTCGACAACATATTATGTTCTTAATTGTAGAAATTCTTAAGAGGTAAAATATTTTTTTGGATCTTTGACTAGTTTTTAATGGCAATGGGACACTCCAGCTCATTTGTTGAGGTAGACAACAAAGGTAGAGTGGAGTAACCGTGTAAGGAAAAAAAGAGATGGTAAAATATGGTGCGAATTAATTAATTAATTAATTAATATTAATTGATTATTAAGAAAATAAAAAGTATTGATTGTCGGGGAAGCAAACTGCGAGGATAAAAAATATTAGGCGCCGAAGGAAAAGGTTGGAGTCGTTGCCTTCTTGGTGTAAATATAAGTTTCCAAAGCGGTTTGTCTTTTGGTGGTCCTACTTAAAAACTTGCCACGTGGCTATAAAGCGGCGTCGACTAGTGGAAAGTGGAATTGATTTGGCGGGAATTTGAACGGGATTCTTCCCATTCGCAAAGTCATACATCTCCCATTTCCTCCAATGTGAATTTAATCATCGTTTTACTTTTACCGTTTCTCTCGACTTAACTTAAAAATCAAATTGTATTAATTCAGAGATTTGATGTAATTTTCTCATAGTATATTTTGAATTTTATCATAATTTAATTTAAGTATCAAAATCTTTGCCATTACGATCGCCAATTGAATTTGCTATCAAAGCTACATGTGCTTAATTATTTGATCGTTTGAGATTTGACAAAACTATCCCACCCTCAATTATCTCGCCATATTCTCCACAACTACCCCAATTTTCACTACATAGATGAAATTTGAGTTTCCACAATTCAGATAATATAACTAAACTATTCATGAACCGTATTATATTTTTATTCCTTCTCAATCCGCACAAACAGATACAGCAAAAATGGTTCATCTTTAACTAGACAGGTCTTTTATTCAACCATCACATCACACGCTTGACTTGTGCCGTCCAAAAACAGACTGAATTTTCGTATCTAAATTTCTCTTTCATTCACGTTTCATGAAACCGAATTCAAAAATGGCGACTTCCTAATTTAAATCCTAAACACACAAATTTCAATGCGTTACTATAACTTCCCATACGACTCCTGGTTTGAAATTATGTCTTAAAAAATCCAAGAACAAGTGAACAACTTCTCTACTATCATCCCACCATCCCATGTGACCAACGGTCAGGTCTACTAACTCATGGCTGCCTATTTATCGGATGACTGGCTGAACAACAAGGATTGCATGAGATCCAACCAAACAATCTCATCCAGAGCACCTAAAATTTCACAAACTAGAGAAGCAGAAACACATAACATGATGCCATGCCTATTGATCTGACATTTTAATTGTGCTAAAAATACTCACTCGGTCTGGGCTATAATCATAAGTGGCATATATTCCCATGCCAGACCTACCCTCAATCGTGTTAAACTGTTATGCTTAAAAAAAAAAACAACTGTAGAAATATATTAAACAATCATGAATTAAGCAGAAATCACAGTCTGGTACACCTGCTTGTCAAGTAAAACACAGTGAAAATTAGACAGGAAACACCTTGCTGAAAGAACAGCCAATAAGCTGTTGCATAAGCAGCTTGAATAATAAGCAGAACTGATGTCAAGTACTTCAACATTACAACTGGCGGGATGTTTATCTATACATATATATTCACAACGTACTACATACATATTGGTGGAAAGAGATAGATACATGACTAATTTAAGCTGTATGTGACCGATCTCATTCAGCTTCCAACAATGTTTTCTATTTACAAGTTAAATTCTCTAGAAGCATCTGAGAAAGCAAATATATAATCACCTTGTTAGTTTCATTTTTGGTAGAGCTGGATTACAATTAAACTGAGAGTAAAATGAATCAATGAACTTCACACCTGTCATGTAAATTTCCTCAAGTTCCTTTTAGCACGAAGTTGACCAAGCTTGTCTTTCCATTGTGCTGTAGTCAAGTATGAGGAAATGAAATTTCAAAAACTTTGTTGGTAATAGCCAAAATCAACAATACTGAAGAAAAACGGGGCTTGTCCAGATGCAATATACCATTCATTCCTAATGGCTACTTGCAATATGAAAAATGCAAACTGCCCAAAATGGCAACAATGCAGTTGCAAGATTATTACTGAACTGCAAAAACTAAAATATATCATTGACTTTATTCACCCCCACACGGCCATTTCTATGGATTTGTGCCTTGAAATGCCATGGGAAACCCAATCAAATTAATTTCCAAATGGAAAACACCCAACTTACTGGCCAAAAGAGGTACAGGCTAGGATTTGTTAGTAACATAGCTTAACACTGCCATTTTTGCTTTCTTGTTTAATCAAAAAAGGGATCATAACAAATGAATTTCACCTATGGGAAAATGTTACAGATAAAATGAAAGAAATGAGTGAACCAGGTGAAAATGAAATATACCTGCATCTCTATAACGCTCCTCAACAGCAGCTATCAACATGTTGCGCACAAGATTAAACTCCGTTGTATCAAGACAAGGCTGACCACTAGGCCTGGAACCAATTAATTTCAATAAAGCCTTTTTCTTTCACCAAAATAAATTCAGGTAGAAAAAAGTGTGACTCTATGAATCTGCTATTCAAGTTACAGATATACTCATTGATTCTTAAATAGTCACTAAATCAATGGCCAAATGAATGGTCAAGAAGTTCAACCCAGGCACTTAGTTTCTTAAGCACTGAGAACTTCGAAATTTACAGACCTTAAAATTGGTCAACATAATCAAGTGCTTCCAAAAGTTAGGCTATAGGATAGTACTACAGAAGGCAACATTCATCTTCTCAAATTGTATAAAGTAACTTTCTCTCCAAATTTGTCTAGCTAAACTGAAAAAAATAAGACTCCTAAAGCATAAGAGCTTGAATATCCAAAAACATGACAAGATCACCGAATTATTCTCCTTCACTAAGGTAAAAAAGACAATTTCTACAGATCTCAACACTAACCTATCCAGTTCAGTAAATAATAAACCATCTGAAGCAGGGGACTGTGTTAACAGTTTGCCAGATTCAACAATCCTCATTCCGTCACTATATGCCAAGTACTTGTTTACTTGTATTGGAACCTGTAAAGAATATGCAAGAAAATATGCTTCAGCACATTAGCAAAACTTTTGCTTACTCATGTAAGACACTACTCTTTGATGGTGAAAGGAGTGGGATACGCAAAGTCCATGGTAATGACTTGTAAAGATTACAATGAGTGTAATGATTTGTAATGAATAGTACAAGGACATCAATCAACATTCACTGTCAAGCATGCTTGATGAAGACAGACATAGTTGTCATACATACTGTTAGGATCCCACATTGAGAGGGAAAAAGAGTGGGCATGTGGTTTATAAGGAGCTGGACACCCTCCCTTGGCAAGCTGGTTTTCCAAGGAGAGTGTTGCCCAAGCCCACAAAAAGACCACTGCCCAGCCCAGTCAAAGGCCCGCTGCCCAGCCCAATTCCTATCAATTTGGGAGTGGGTTCCTATTACATACGCATCCAGGCATCATAGAAAGACAATATCAAATATGATAGCATCAAAGAAATGAATAAAATTAGTTTCCGGTTCAACAATTCAGGGTTTTTCATCTTAGGAAATATCAAGAAGGCCACCAAATTCTTGGTTTCCAAAAAACAGATTTAAATTAGATCACCAACACCAATGTCAGCACCCTAATTTTAAGCATGGAAGATGCAAACAAAAGAAAAAAGAGATAGAAATTCTTTCACGGCTCAAAAACAAGGATATTCCAGTACACCTCTTCCCACAATCATAAAAAACTCACATCATCCATCACATAATGAGAAAGTATTTATTTTCTCTGCTTTCATATTTAAATGATTCAGTTAAGTGATATATGCTTAACAACATGGACTTTTTTCTGACAACCATTTTCCCAACCTAACAAACCATATGTTTTCCTCAGTTCAAATTTGATTACAAGTGAAAAAGGCCAATATAGTTCAGCAGTAAACTTATATCAATCCAACTCATTTTGATTTTTATCTATAATACTTCAGGAACAAATACGTTCAATTGTATCTCTCACATTTACAATTATTAAAGGCAACAGGCCCAAGATTCTGAAAACTGCAACATTATAAACTAGTTCAAGTAACATCAAAAATGGCAAAGTACCTTGCATCTCACGGCAATGTTGATGGCATCTGAAGGTCGAAGATCAAAGCTGACACTCTGTGTCTCATCACCTACCTGCGACACATTCAACATACTCTCAGTGAACACTAAGATGATGGAGTAATTGAAGACAGCTACAGTACAAGGGTGTAGTAGGTATATGCCTTTGTGAGGTATAACTGTGCAAAATATGCTTCATGCACTCTCTTGGTAACTCTAACAAGTTTTACCTGCAGAAAATTAATACAATAATTTGGAATCAAGACTGAGAGTAAATCATATTCCAAGCTATGTAGCATACTATTAATAAAATCCAAAAGCAAAACATACTTCGTAGCCCATCTTGTCAATCATCTCCTTAACCACTGTATACAGAGTTGGCCTAGCCTGACAAGCACAACAGACAAACCAAGAAGTTCTGAATTTTGAAATCCAAGAGCTCCATTGATCCAGGAAAATAAACACCCTATTTGAATTAAAAAAGAAAAACAAAATAGAAAGGAAGAAAAGAAAAATGAAGACATACAATTTGTACATTGCGAATTGCTGCCATGAGCAACACACTTGGCATCTCTACTGCAATCAAAGGAAAATAGCTTCAATTCGATGAAGAATGATAGAAAATACTCAAATGTAATGCTAGAAAACAGTTCTTCTAACACCGCAAACCATTATTGCAATAGCACGTACAAACAATTATTGGGAGAAGAAGACCAGTCCCATCTTCCATCTTCAATACAATTGCAGGATGAGGAGCATAGTCTGGTAGATGTCCACCCTGAGGGTTGTTATGGACACATCTTAAGTGCCGACCATCCCTCATTTTGATCATAAAACCATCTGCTCCACTCCTCACCTCAACTACAAGGATCAACCAGTTAAAACTAGTCAACTAACACAACTCCAGAAAATACAATATGTAACAACAAAATTTAACAACATGATTATTCACTGATGCAGCCAATTTGATTTCCTCCCAATGACAAAATTTCAAAGGAATATATACTATCAACAAGAAACAATACCAGTTCCAAAATCACAGTGGCACGTTGATATATAAACAAAACCGTGCGAATGTATTGAATTTAATTGCAAAAAACATAAGTTAGCCACCAGCTCAGTAATTAGCATACCAGCTTCAACGATACTAGAGTTGACATAATCTTCATCGTTTTCATTGAAGTTCTCAGCCATGCTTCCATTACCATTCGAGGAAGAACTGAAACTACACTGCACGGTTTTGCACTTCTGCGCCTTTAGTTGCCGACTAAAAACACTCACCTTGGTCTTGCTACCACTGAATCCGTTGAATCCCCAAAACTCATTTCTAAAAATTCTAGTTTTCATCAAAGGACCATTGACAGGCAAAGTGTAAAGTCCTGCTTGTTTGGCACGAACAACAGGGCAGATAACAGGTCCTTGTAATGATCCCATTTTCTTAAGTCCTCAAAGTCCTAGCCAAAATCAATAAAAACTAAACAAATTGATCATATCCTGTTAAAAGTGGAGAAAGAAAAAAATTACAGATGTAAGAAGCAACAACTTAATTGCATAAACGATCGAACTTTAGTTCTATAATTTTAATTATTTATTATCACGGAGAACAAACTCCAATTGACCGAACCCGGCCATATATTCCTCTGTAAAACGAGTATTTGTTCATGTGTGTGCTTTTTTTTTTTTTCAATAAATATCAAACATAACAACCACTGTTTCTGAGTTCTGGATTACACTATCCGATCGTCAGAGCCAAATCATTAATCAATCAAACTGAATAACACAAAATATCAACTAAAAACTAAAAGCTAGAACCAGACCTGAAAGCCACCAAATCACAATCTCACACCGATCAACAAACAAATAACTTATTCAATCACCGATCACAGCTTAAACATAATAGAAGCTTCAGTTGATTCTCACGAATTTATCCGCAGATATTCTCAGAATCAAAAAAATAATCCTAAATGGAAGTGTAAAAGATCGAAAAATAGGTAAGGATCTGAAACGAAAAAAGAAGTGATTGTAAATTGAATTGAGAAAGTATATAGAAGTAGCTTGTGATGTAAGCAAATGAGCAATTCTCGGATTACAGTAACCGACAACAGGGATCAGATAAAACGAATGAGAGGAAGAAGCGAAACGAAGATAAGAGATTCTTTTTCTTAAGAGTTGCCCTTTCTATTAACATAAACAAAGTACACTTGCAATTAGAAGAGGAACACTGAATCTTTACCCATCTTCGATAATATTTTCCCAAATGACGATTATGCCCTTTTCGGACACTGTAATGGCACTTTCTATTAATTATTGTGGGTTAAATTGATAAATAAACACATAAATCGAAATCCCACTCTTAAATAATTTTATATTTCCGTAAATTTGTTATTAGGGGTGATTATAGAAGAGTGTTAAATTTAATTTTTCGTTTAATTTACTACAGTTTCAATCAAATTTTTTATTAAAAAAATGATATTATAATTGAACCATAATGAATCTAATATAATGTTTTGTATGAACATTATACTTATCTTTAACAAGGAAAATCACACTCTTATGTAACCAAATAAAAAATATATAATATATACTAAAAAGAAAAAAAAAACAGTTTATCTCTTACTTATTATATATAAAAGTATTAAATAAGAAAACTTGACTTGACAACAGGGGCAGATCTAGAGTATATTGAGGTTCATTCTCAAATTTTTTTTAAAAAAATACTTATACTTAATTTTTTTTTCTTTTTATTACAATTTCAACTAAAAACGTATAATATGAATATTATATATTATTACATTTTATTTTGACTCATCCTAACAAGAATTTTTAGATCAATTACTGCTTGACAATAACTTGTGAAAAATGAGTTTAACTTGAGTTATAAATTTTGTAAAAACTACTATAAAATATAACTTGTGTGAATTAAAGCACCACGGCACGTAATATATTTTTGGAGAGTACAAATGATTTGGGTAAGTGTTTTTTATTTAAAAATTATGTTTCATGGGTCCTAGCCAACTACTTCAACGTGATGTTTGTTCTTTGGTTCTGCAAATATCTTATATCAAATATTTTTTAGTTTATACGCTATGCTTTTAAAGCTTCAGTTATGTCTACATGGTTTGTCGAATTTGATTATCTTTGGCCAATCATGGCAAAAGGAAATTTATTAATTAGAATAGAGTTTATCGGTAATATTGTTCTGACTAGAAGGGTATAAATGGCCTTTAACAAAGTAGATACTATAATAAGTATTTATGCTGACATGGTGACATCAACCGTGTATAACTGACAGATCAGATCAACAATGCCGGCGGCCGAAAGTATCAAAGACACCATAATGTGCCACGTGTATAATGATTTGGATAAGGCTCTCCTCTCGTAATTCTCGTTTTTTCCATTTCTCAGAAATTTTCCAGCAAGTTGTTGTTAATTAATTATGTACCGTATACTTTGTCCACAGTTTATTATATAGGAAAGTGGAATTCCTTTATCTTTAAAAAGTATTATAATATTAAAATAACACAAATAATATTAGCTGGCAATGGGATGTTGTTTCGAGATTTGTCCAAACTTGGCTTTCTAGTAATCTAATCTTATACGAATAATTCATACATCAAACTGTGGTATCCATCGCGTAGACTACATTTCTGCGTCCATTCCAAGTTTCCAAAGCGGCTTAAAATAGAATAAAATTAAATAAACCATTATAATATTATGAGTAAATATAATCAAATAAGAAAAAATGATTAGCTTCAATGCGTATTTGTCTGATGTTATAGACCTTTGAGCTTCTCCCATGGGCGCCAATTAACGAAGGGGAGCGAAAAATTCCAAAGAATAGGTGACAATATAAAGTATCTTACTATATGTACGAAACTATCTACAAGTTATTATTGTATTACACTTAAAAATGATAATTAGACTTAGGTACTTATTATAAAGTTATAAACCAGCCTCAAGACTGTGACAACCTAACCAAATTCACAACATTGTTCGGTAGTAGGTAGTTAAGGAGTTCAAATATTTCGTAATAGTTGGATCTCCAAGTACCCAATGGTGGACGTCATTTTTGTTTGGAAGTAGATAATTGGAATTGGTGAAGAGTTTCTATGAAGAAAGAAACCATTGATTAGAGCCAAGAAAGTCAAGCCCACCGTTTGGATTTGGGTAAAGTAGTGAAGTTTGAAAAATGAGCGAAGAAGACTCTAGAATCATTATCATCATCTTCATGTGTTATGTAACCATCAAGGATCTTTAATGGGTAATATTAATGCTAGTACGCAATTATAGATTCCCCAAGTGGATCCACCCAGAATCAATTGTTTATAACTGATTAACTTACAGTACTGTTAACCAACAATGGGTTGGTGAAACGATAAAGGCATCAAGCTAACAGGTTTGCTTTCCTTTCCTTCTCCTGTTCCAATCATAAAAACAGTAGTTAATATTGTTAGTCAAAGATCACATGATTCATCATATTTTGAAAGTTTTATCCAAGATTGAAAAATTAGTTAAAGTATACGTAAACTGACCCAAACATCTCAGTAACTAAAAAACACTTAGAGTCCACTTAGGAGTTTCATAATAGCGGTTATGAGAGTAAACCACCATAGCAATTTTAAGGGTAAATCATCATAACGGTTTTGAGAGGTTTTTTGTTGTGATTTTTAAAACACCCGATCTGTGCTTGAGAGTTTATTTTCCAACGGTTCTAACAGTTTTTTAAAATGATAAATTTACATAGATGCCCATAAAAATACTCCAACTCTAACTAGTATTTGGAAGTTTTGTTTTTTCAATTATAAGGTAAGAGTTCTTTATTTGTTTTTTATTTATTAGTATTTTATAACTTTAAATGTGATAAAGTTTTCTTATCCTTTTTCGTTATTCTTTGCAGCATCTGGAATGATTGAAAAATTGTAACTTCACTTCTCCAAGAAAGCATCTAGAAATGAGATTTTAATAATTTTTTTTTTTTTTATGATTGCTTAAAATTATTTTATATTTAATATGGTTGAAGACGTGCATAATATGATTAAATTTTTTTTTTTTTGATATAATTAGGATAGTTTTATAGTGAATAGAGTATTTGTGGAATAAAATTTTAAAACTAACCAAAATACCTCAATTTAGGGTATTTTATAAACCTCTCAAAATTACACTAAACTGATTTTAAGGGATTTTTGAGCGAATCAAAATTAGTATATAAAAAATTTGGCAAATAATAATTTAAAAACCTCTCAAAACCACTAAAATATTAAAAACCTCTTAAAACTGAAATAAAGACTCTCAAGTAGACCCTTACTGTACAGTTTCTGAGGGCTGCGGTTATGCTCGAGTTTGAGGGCACTGATGTGTAGAAAAGGTTAATCCATTCTAGTTGGAATTTTTGGTTGACGGCCTCTCTAATCAGCAATCACTATCGATAGGAACCCAGATAGTGCCAAACCCAGAGAAAAAGACATGTTAATACTCCACAAACACAAAAATATTATCCAAATTTCATTTCACAAATCCACTCCAGACCCAGAGGGCGCACTTCAAGGAGTTCATATAACAAATATCTTTCACAAAATCTTACGGTTGATTGTGATATATGTTTTTACAGAAGTTTATTTCGTTGGCAATGGATGAATGTTGGCATTTAGAAGGCTGATCATCTGAAACTTACCAATTAATGACCGAATCTTTTTCTTTTTTTTAATAATAATTTGATACTTAAAAATTAAAATCGTTGATGGTTTATCTAAAAACTGAAATGGCTCCAAATGAAAATCCCAAATCTGCTTGTTGACAAAAGAATTCAAAACCCTTTTAAAGATTATATACCCATAAACATTAGATTTATACGTATATATGTAACATTAGATTTATACGTATATATGTAACATCGAAGCTAAAGCTAGGCCCATTCGCATAGCGTCACTGTTAGCACGTCTTACAATCCTACAATGAAACTGCAGAGTTGCAGAATGATGGGCTTTGTAAAAGGGTCATCATTACGCGGGTTTGGGCCTGCCTTGCTCTTCTGTCTCCCATGTCAGAAAGTTGAAGAGTTAGAGGGACCTATCTTTGCGGGAAAGAGAAAACAAGGGACACCGCACACGCTCCAAGATCCAAACTAAATTAATCTTTAATTATATTGCTTTTGAACCACGTCTTGTATATGGTATAGAAAAAAAAGGGATAAAGAATCAACCATCTTGAATCTTGATCCCAACTAATAGATTACTGAATCAAATGGCAACTGTCAAGCATAAAATCACCTTACGATTTAGTTGACAAAAACAATTAATGTGGAAGAAGGTCCGTTAAAATTCATATAATTAATGGAACATGTATTGTTTAATGGATCAAACTTGGTCGATCCTGAATCCTATTTTAACAGGATGACCAAATTTGCTCCATTCAGCTTAGGAAATTTAAGCTCTCAATCAGCTAGGGCTCAAAGTATTTGCCCCATGTAAACATATTTGTTTAACACTACACAGTCATAGATTGATTAAGTTCCTTCACCAAAGTTAGGCGGTGGCCAAATGCCTCCACCACCACCACCATCGTTAGTTACATAAGACATACATGACAATGGCACAAGACACAGCCCTCGGCTTCTCAGATCTCGGTTTGGTTCTTCATTCACGTTCTCCGCCATCGATCCCTAACATCATTAGCAGGAAGTCATATTAATTATGAGAATTATCGGGTCGTATAATCTCTCTACATTTTTCAGGCATTCTAGTTAGGGTCAAGCAAACATTGAAAGTGAGTAATCAGAAAGATAAAATGGGTTAACTGAAAGTCTAAAACTGAATAAATGAATAAACTTGTGGTTCCACCATGTTTTTCCCCAACGAAAGCCAATCGAGCTTTCACTACTTGGTCACTAATTACCTCGAACGAAACTCTAAACTGGAAACTCCATTAAAAAATTATATTATCATTCTTACCCCTTGCATTGTTCTGCAGGTCTTGTTGCGTGATGACTTCATGTAAGGAACGCTTAGTGTCTGCGTAAAGTGTATTCAAAAGTCAGTGTAAATTTAAGAATTAATATATAATTTTGTGTTAAACTGGGATCACAAATTTTTGGGCATTCTGGCTTCTTTAATGTTTTCCACTGGTTTTAAAGCAAGTATCATAGATATTAAATATTCTTCCTGGAATTTTCCAGTTATGGTAATTTACTAATTTGGCTGGCCCATATTTGATCTGACTTTGACTGAAACTCATTATGTTACACTAGTTTAGGCATTTTTAAGGAAGGTAACAAAGTTTCAAACTCGGTTTTTCCAGTCAATTCTGGTACTGAAGATGATCAAAGAAAAACAATGGTTCCTACATTGAATCGTATTTGAAGTGGAGGAAATAGGACCTTGAGAGGAGAGTATTAATATAAATAATTGAAATAACTTAATTAGATCCCTGAAGGAGAACTTACTGAAACCCTACAGCCTAGCTAGCTAGCATTCTGCCTAATTTTTTAGGGTTGGAGTTGGGTATTCTAATTTGACTGCGTCTCAAATAATTGAGGTAAAAAATAAAAAATAATAAAAGTAGGAGAATGCATGTGTAGGCAGCATGGAAAATAATACTAAATAATAAGACTGAAGAAGAATGTTGGGAAGCGAAAGTACCTCAACCTGGTTTTGTAGGAATTTTATGTACCCAATAGCCTCCATTAGTACGGATGCAGTGTCTGTCTGAAATATGCTCCACCCCACATGCAAAAACAATACGTCATTCACCATTACCAAGAGTATATAAATTATTGAAATTAAGAGCTGGAGATTGAACAAAAACATGATAGAATTCATTTCTTGTCCAAAAAAAGGTGAACTTATTACGACAAAAAATGATGATGGAGATTCAAATTAGTGGTGATAAGAAGGTAGAGCACTTGAAAAGGAAAAGTTACCTTGCCGAAGGGTGCAACCAGCTGCTGAAGGGCTGCAATTCTATCTCCTAATTTCTCTTTCCTAACCTGTTTGAATGCCAATAAAGTTATACAGTGCAAAAGCTTACATATAATCAGAATCAAAACACAGCATTATTATTTAGTAAAACACACAACAAAAATATATCTATAAAGTTTGATTTTATTGATCCTTTGGCACCTTAAAAGGTGGACAGGAGGCGCGTGACTCCAATCGTGACTTCTTTTGTGCTGATTGTGTTGCCTTTGGCTCTACTGAACCGCTGGATCTCTTTGCCTCTGTTATTTCACTGGTGAAGGGTGATGATATCTTCGAAACGCAAAAGAATATCATACATCAGATTAATGATAATCTAAAGCAAGTGTAAAAGAAGAAGCACTAGAATGCTGATAAAAGGATATAACTTCAATGTTTAAAGTTTCCATTATGTGGCAAAAAGAGAATGCTATTCTTTTGTTGCCATAACTTTGATTAAGAGCTTTTTACAGTAAAGGCCAACTTTACATTTTTTCTTTCTGGAGATAAAGTATTTCCAGTGCATATCATGGTTAAAATGCTAAAGAGCTAATGTAGAATTGTAGCTAAAGCGAAGTCGATGGTTGACGAATTTGAAGTTATTATTTGTACTAACATTGAGTAAAGTTGCAGATAAAGCAACATTGCCTAAATTTATATACCAAATAACAAGGCTAATAATTTCACTGTTAAAGTAATTACGTTAATGGTGATGAGATGCTAGTCTCTAAATCATGGATGTGCTAACAATAACAATAACAAAAATAAAAATACAATACGCTCAAGAGAAGGAAAAAGAACAAGGATGAGCAGTACTCACTTTAGTAGGACTAGAAGATGGCCTGCGCCTTGATTGCTGCATATGATCATCAAGGCCAAAAGGAAGGCTCTCTCTGTACGCACCAAGATTATTATGTGAAGTCTCACAAAAATTTCCGCTGAATCTTGAAGAGGTTAGTAGATCCAAGGCCTGCAAGTTCATGTCAAAGGAACTTGAAGTTGCTGAAGATGATTGGTTCAAGTTGGAAATATTTATACTCGGATAAATCTGGCTGAAGTTCCCTCTACTAGGTATAGCACTTCCAAGACTAGAAACGTTCTGAGCATTAGAATAAAACTCTCCCCCAGAAAACTGATTCGCATTTAGTGGGAAACCCGAAGAAATGGTCTTGAGCAACAGCTTCTCACTAAGGTCATCATTCAAACCCTTTCGCTCATTTTTTAAGTAGCTTGTTGGAGGTAGATGAGAATCTTCAATATTTGAGGGACTGTTTAACATATCTGTAAATTTTGGGAACGAATCTGAAAGCTCTTCCTTAATTTTTGAAAAGTGTATATCATGAGCTGACTGGCTGGTGAAGGTACCGGCATTATTAATCCAGTGTAAGCCTGATTCTTGGATCATGGAACTATTTGGAGGAGGGACATGAATCTCATTCTTCTGCCTTGAATTTAAGATGAATCCATTATAGTTTGGATTAAAGTTACCAGCATTCCTGCACATACAGTTTAGAGGGAAGAAATATAAATTTCATGAAACAAAACTTATTATTACTCGAATGAATAAATCAAAAGAAAGGAACAACCCTAGTAAAGTATATGAAATATCAAAGATGAACTTGGAAAACAATATATTTATAATAACAATACAAGAACAGAAGATCGTTTGTTTTTCAAATTAATACTGTATTACAAGAGGTGTAATGTGTAAGGAGTTATTTTTGATAGCGTGTACGATATGAACCCACAAAATTCTTGGATTCCAAAGCAATACATCAAATAAAAATTCTCCTGATTCGGTAGAAAACTGACTGATAATCAACTCTAACAAGCAAGTTTGAATTTCTAGGCGCTTTCTGATTGATGCACATCAAATCAGAAAAGAAAACACGGAAGATATTCCAAATCTTAAAGTAAATTCATAATGGTACTGTGAACAGCAACATTGATTGAAGAAAGCACATAGAGAAGAGAGAGAGAGGGTAACTTACAAAGTGACATTTGAGTTTGGGATAGGGGTCCAAGCATGGGAGCTTGCAACTCCATAGCAAGATGGGGTAGGTAAAGAAGAAGACCCAACAAGCTGGTCTTGAAGCTGATGTTGATGATGGATATTTGCAGACTCCATAATGATAATTTTTTAACAAAAAAGGCTTGAAAATCCCAAGATGAGGAATTAAAATTTTACTAACCCCAGCTTGCTGTTGGAATCTCTCACTATATTCAAAGAAACAGTTCAGGTGACTCCCATACACCTTCTTGCTTTTTGCAAGCTACTTTTGTTGAGTTTCCTCTTTACTCTTTCAAGTTTCTATCTTAAAGTAGCCTTCAAAAGAAAGAAAGAGAGAGCTTGAATAATTTTTCTCTCTACTTCTCTCTGAATTTAATTATTTATTTCTTTTCAGGCTCACTTTTTTTATGCAGCTTCTCAATATAAGATGAAAACTTGTGTCGTCTCCTCTCTCTCTCTCTCTCTTTTGTTTTGATTATCTATTCACTCTCTCTCTCTCTTCTGGCTGATGCTTTTTTGCACTCTCTGCAATTACAGGAAGATGATTATACTTCCTCTATGTTATGATTAAGATCCCTGCCTTCGATCCCAAGGCTTTCAACAAAGGTCTGAGAAGAGAAATGATAGCAACCATGCTCTATCACTCTCTTTCTTTCTCTCTCTCTCTTTCTCTCTCTCCCTCTTTAACTCTTTATATCCATATCCCCACATGTTCATCAAGTTCCTTAATAGATTTCATTTACTTGGTATCTATGGACTGTGTGAATCAGCAACTTTGTTCTCTACAGTAGTTCATTCTCCAATGTTTTCCAGTGGACCGATTATCATATTAATTAATTCTACATTTTCCACATAAGATAATTGATACTGAGACCACAAATTGATTTATACTCGTCTCTCAATAAAATATAAGAAAACAAGTTGTGATTGTCTTTACTTTGTGCTCATCATGGACTATACAAAATTAAATGTATTCACATATTCCTTAAAATGGTGCTGTTTAATAATTTTAAAATGCAATAATTAAGATTTATTAGTATGAATCATGTGTCTTAAAAAGCACATGATTTGAAGGTTCTTTATTAAATTGTAAAATTTACTCTTTCATATATTTTAATTTAAAATGACATTTCCTTTTAACTATATATATATTTATATCATTCAAGAAAAATATAATTAACATGATTCATATACATAATATTTAGGGTAGAAACTTTTTTTTTTTTTTTTTGGAAAAGGTACATTTCATAAAAGCAATGGCGGATTTACTTAATGATGAGTGGGGACCACGGCCCCCACTCAAACTTTAAAAAACTTCCGATTGTATAAATATTTATATTTAGTTGCATTTTACCCCCTATAAGACTTTGACATTTTGCCCCCACAAATTTTTTTGTTTATTTTTGCCCCCATCGAGTGAAATTCCTGGATCCCATAAAAGAAAGAGAAATTATACATAAATTAGAGACATACTCCTAGAAGAGGTCTAAAGAAAATCTGAATAGATATACCCATTTTTTTGGACAAAGGGATAGAAACAAACGCTAAAAAAGAAGCACGCAAGCTCCAAACAATGGAGGGAGATGGGCACAGGCGCCCTAAGGGATCAATCTAAGAAAAAATAGGGACACTGGCGCCCGACAAGCGCATAGGCTCAGAACAAGTAAGAAAAGGGAACGTATTGTAGTATACTTTATTTTAATTTACAGCTAATAATGTAAAACAGTAATTTGACTAAATTATCCATATGATATTAAGTGTAAGAAATGAAAGAGTAAATGCATTGGCAGGGTATACTTGTTATTTCAAGTGAGCAAATGCATGATAGCTAGCCATTGTAAGTGTGCAACTAACTAAGAACATAATTGTTGCGACGGGAACCTGTATTTATCATGTTTGCCCATTTTTTGGTATGCAAACGTCGGTCAGAAGAAGCTCTTTGCTAGCAAAAGTCCAGTCAAGCTTTTAATTACAAGATATTTGGGTTTAATTTCATTCCTTCTATTAAAGGAGAGTGAGATGGGTCCAGGGTGCTTTAATTGTCAAGAATAATCGTATATACTGAGGTACGATGTCGTTAATTTAGAATTCATATTACTATTCTTAAGTCAATGGGGTCTTTCCATTTACGAGACTTTGCAGCTGGGTCACCATTGTTTAGTTAATTTAAAGCAAAGATCGGAAAATAAAGTAGAGAGATTCGAATCACACTGCATCATGGTGCAATTGATTTGGTAGTGTGAAGCACCGATACTAGGAATAAAATTGATTAAATTCCTGATATCATATTTAAAAAAATTACTCATCATGAATTCAGAAATAGATGTGAAAATGTGAAATCATGAAGTAATTTATTTGTTTTGTATCTAAATTTAGGAAGGGAAGCATATATCTGTAGAAGGGGATGACTATGAGAAAGCTTGAATACTGCATTAGGGTTAGGGTTAGGGTTAGGGTTAGGGTTTATTATCATGTTTTAAGAAACTAGTATTCAAAAATCTCATAATGGTGGCCGAGGGAATAATGAAAATATATAAATAGGATCTAGGTTCCATTTCGTCGGCAATGGATGAATGTTGGCATTTAGAAGGCTGATCATCTGAAACTTACCAATTAATGACCGAATTTTTTTTTTTTTAGTTTTTATAATAATTTAATACTTAAAATCGTTGTTGGTTTATCTAAAACTTATGGGCCCAAATGAAAATCCCAAATCTGCTTGTTGACAAAAGAATTCAAAACCCTTTTAAAGATTATATACCACCATGAACATTAGATTTATACGTATATATGTACATCGAAGCTAAAGCTAGGCCCATTCGCATAGCGTCACGGGTCATCATTACGCGGGTTTGTAAAAGGGTCATCATTACGCGGGTTTGGGCCTGCCTTGCTCTTCTGTCTCCCTGTCGAAAGTTGAAGAGTTAGAGGGACCTATCTTTGCGGGAAGAGAAAACAAGGGACACCGCACACGCTCCAGATTCAAACTAAATTTTCTTTAATTATATTGCTTTTGAACCACGTCTTATATATGGTAAGAAAAAAAGGGATAAGAATCAACCATCTTGAATCTTGATCCCACAATAGATTACTGAATCAAATGGCAACTGTCAGCATAAAATCACCTACATATAAAAAACAATTAATGTGAAAGGTCCGTTAAAATTCATATTTAATGGAACATGTATTGTTTAATGGATCAAACTTGGTCGATCCTGATCCTATTTTAACAGGATGACCAAATTTGCTCCATTCAGCTTAGGAAATTTAAGCTCTCAATCAGCTAGGGCTCAAAGTATTGCCCCTGTAAACTATTTTGTTTAACACTACCCAGTCATAGATTGATTAGTTCCTTCACCAAAGTTAGGCGGTGGCCAAATGCCTCCACCACCACCACCATCGTTATGTACATAGACATACATGACATGGCACAAGACACAGCCCTCGGCTTCTCGAATCTCGGTTTGGTTCTTCATTCACTTTCTCCGCCATCGACCCTAACATCATTAGCAGGAAGTCATATTAATTATGAGAATTATCGGGTCGTATAATCTCTCTACATTTCAGCATTCTAGTTAGGGTCAAGCAAACATTGAAAGTGAGTACAGAAAGTAAAATGGGTTAACTAAAGTCTAAAACTGAATAATGAATAACTTGGGTTCCACCATGTTTTTCCCCAACGAAGCCAATCAGCTTTCACTACTTGGTCACTAATTACCCGAACGAAACTCTAAACTGGAAACTCCGTTAAAAAATTATATATCATTCTTACCCCTTGCATTGTTCTGCAGGTCTTGTTGCGTGATGACTTCATGTAAGGAACGCTTAGTGTCTGCGTAAAGATTCAAAAGTCAGGTAAATTTAAGAATTAATATATATTTTTGTGTAAACTGGGATCACAGATTTTTGGGCATTCTGCTTCTTTAATGTTTTCCACTGGTTTAGAAGTATCGTAGATATTAAATATCTTCCTGGAATTTTCCAGTTATGGTAATTTACTAATTTGGCTGGCCCATATTTGATCTGACTTCTTGAAATATCTGATGAAACTCATTATGTTACCTAGTTTAGGCATTTTTAAGGAAGGTAACAAAGTTTCAAACTCGGTTTTTCCAGTCATCTGGTACTGAAGTGATCAAAGAAAAACAATGGTTCCTACGTTGAATCGTATTTGAAGCGGAGGAAATAGGACTTTGAGAGGAGAGTATTAATATAATAATTGAAATAATTTAATTAGATTCCTGAAGAGAACTTACTGAAACCCTACACCTAGCTAGCTACATTCTGCCTAATTTTTTAGGGTTGGAGTTGGGTATCTAATTTGACTGCGTCCTCATAATTGAGGTAAAAATAAAAATAATAAAATAGAGAATGCATGTTAGGCAGCATGGAAAATAATCTAAATAATAAGACTGAAGAAGAATGTTGGGAAGCGAAGTACCTCAACCTGGTTTTGAAGGAATTTTATGTACCCAATAGCCTCCTAGTACGGATGCAGTGTCTTTCTGAAATATCTCCACCCCACATGCAAAAACAATACGTCATTCACCATTACCAAGAGTATATAAATTATTGAAATTAAAGCTGGAGATTGAACAAAAACATGATAGAATTCATTCTTTGTCCAAAAAGGTGAACTTATTACGACAAAATGATGATGGAGATTCAAATTAGTGGTGATAAGAAGGTAAGCACTTGAAAAGGAAAAGTTACCTTGCCGAAGGGTGCAACCAGCTGCTGAGGCTGCAATTCTATCTCCTAATTTCTCTTTCCTAACCTGTTTGAATGCAATAAGATATACATGCAAAAGCTTACATATATCAGAATCAAAACACAGCATTATTATTTAGTAAAACACCAACAAAATAAATCTATAAAGTTTGATTTTATTGATCCTTTGGCACCTTAAAGGCAGAGGCGCGTGACTCCAATCGTGACTTCTTTTGTGCTGATTGTTGCCTTTGGCTCTACTGAACCGCTGGATCTCTTTGCCTCTGTTATTTCACTGGTGAAGGGTGATGATATCTTCGAAACGCAAAAGAATACATACATCAGATTAATGATAATCTAAAGCAAGTGTAAAAGAGAAGCACTAGAATGCTGATAAAAGGATTACTTCAATGTTTAAAGTTTCCATTATGTGGCAAAAAGAGAATGCTATTCTTTTGTTGCCATAACTTTGATTAAGAGCTTTTTACAGTAAAGGCCTTTACATTTTTTCTTTCTGGAGATAAAGTATTTCCAGTGCATATCATGGTTAAAATGCTAAAGAGCTAATAGAATTGTAGATAAAGCGAGTCGATGGTTGACGAATTTGAAGTTATTATTTGTACTAACATTGAGTAAAGTTGCAGATAAAGCAACTTGCCTAAATTTATATACAAATAACAAGGCTAATAATTTCACTGTTAAAGTAATTACGTTAATGGTGTGAGATGCTAGTCTCTAATCTGGATGTGCAAACAATACAATAACAAATAAAAATACAAACGCTCAAGAGAAGGAAAAGAACAAGGATGAGCAGTACTCCACTTTAGTAGGACTAGAAGATGGCCTGCGCCTTGATTGCTGCATATGATCATCAAGGCCAAAAGGAAGGCTCTCTCTGTACGCACCAAATTATTATGTAAGTCTCACAAAAATTTCCGCTGAATCTTGAAGAGGTTAGTAGATCCAGGCCTGCAAGTTCATGTCAAAGGAAC